ACACACGCACGCACGCGCAAGCACACACACACACCACTGTTTATACTCTGTTTCCTGTGTGTACGAGGATGTCTGTTGCATTCCTGTGTAGCGAGCAGAGAGAGAGAGAGCCGCCCTGTAATGTCACATTATGTCCCCCTTTCTCTCTCTCTCTCTCTCTCTCTCTCTCTCTCATGCTTCTCACATGAATCTCTCATTCTTATAACGACTAATTGGATTTAATGGCCGGAATTAATGCAGACTTATTCAAATGTATATGGTTTAAAAGGTGAAAGGATTTCTGCTTTTAGTGGATAAAGAACAGAGCTTAAAGAAAACAAGGAGAGAGGTAGATGTGGGACGACAAACTGTCCTAAGCCAATTGTCCAGTTGGCTTAAAGACAAGCTGAGTAACTTGGGCTGTGGGAAAATCACAGGGGTATTTTCTTACATTTTCTAGACAGAATCAATAATAACTTAAGTGAAAAAACAACAGGCAGATACAGCAATGAAGAAAACATTCATTACTCACGGCCCTTCTTGAATTCCCAGTTTTTCGACACATGAACGTGTTTCACTCTGATTTACATGTGAAAAATGCAGAATTGTTGCAAACATCAGACAATATAGTTCTTTGCAAAGTAGTTGTGATAAGTGGGGGAAGAATTCAATCCGTAGGAAGACAAACTTCAGAGACTTTTTTTTTGAATACAGTATTTTACAGACAAAACCTACTGCTCATCCAAATCACATCTGACTGGACACGTTGAAGCAACTGAAAGTATATCTCAGTGTTTTCTGTGTCAAACAGAAACTATGTAGAAAAACAGGAATAAGGTTTTAACTCATCTTTGACAAACTTAACCACAGATATCTAAGCTGACATTGAACACTTCAGAGAGTCATCTCAAAACCACTCTTCTTTCCACTGTTTGTTGTCCCTCTTTTTGATTGTGCGCGTGTGTGCGTGCGTGTGCAGAGGCGGGCCCTGTGACCCCGGCTGTCATGGCGACAGATGTTCCTTGCTCACATTCCTCAGACCAGGAAGCAAGAATTCAAGCTATTCGCAATCTGGATAGTCTCTCTCTGTGTCCCAGTCGAAAATATCCCGGCCATATTTTCACTCTTGTCATAATGGTTGCGGGCTGCGAGCCGCCGACTTATCCCAAATGCATAATCACCAGCCTACAAAGTCCACACACATACAGCTTGACAAAAGCTGAGGGGCTCACACACAGACAAACACACACACACTCTTCTCTTGTGATGGTCAACAACATTATCCTCCGAACTTGACCAAACCAGAAACACATTCCCTTCAAATCAAAGCCACATGGAGGACGTTCAGGAGCAGCGCGCAGCTGGACGGACGCTCCGAGAGGGACGCATCATTTCCACACACAGATCCATGAAAACCTGCGCCATCTTCCTCCGTTCCTCTCCCTCGTCCATGGCAGCAACGCACACAAACAAAACAAGTATGCTTAAGTGAGTTTCCCCATATTGACAAATGATTTCAGAGTGAGGCGAGGGAAGCCAGGATTCATCCACAGCTTCCAGGTCACGTTCAGCTGACCTCACTGTTACATGAACACAGTTTTAAAACACTCATCGCGCTACAGATTCCTTCGCCGCCGCAGTTTGTCCTGCACATACAGCAAGAGGCCTGCTGGGATTGCAGCTGACCGCTCCCTCCTTTCCTTTCCCTTCACTTCCTTTCCTTCTCTGTCATCTCGGTGCGTGGCATGCCACTACATCCCCCCCACCCTCACTCCCCCTCCAAAGCATTTCCTTCTTAAAAAAAGAAAAAGTGATTATGTAACGAGCCACACTGCACACTGTAAGTTTCAGACGGAGAAGACGGGAAAGACGGAGAGAAGGAGGCGGAAGAAGAAGCTGGTTGATAAAAAAAAAAAAAAAAAAAAAGTCAGAGGCTGCGTAGACAATGAAGGACAAACAGAAATGAGAGGGTCAAGAAAGTCCCCTTTGTTCTTTAACACATGTAACTGCTCGGTTGAGTTGAACCATAAAACTTTAAAAGTGTCAGACATTTTGGTCTCATCGCTTGCTGCTACCATTATCTCTTTATGTATCGCCGATGTGCAATGAATCCTGGGAAATGTTGGCCCAAGAAGGTTCCACCTATTGGAGAAAAGGACACATCTGTAGGCCGCATTTGAAGGAGCCTTTGAAATAGAGCAACCTTGTCACGGCTCTGTGACGCAAATCATCTTCAAATGCAGACGCAGTGTTTTAGTAAACATTAGGTGATGTGAAGATGCAGCAAGTAGCCAATCATTTACTAGTTAACTGAAATCTAAGTTCCAGTTTTTAAAATTTTAGGATTTCAGACATAAGAGATCACACCGACCCGGATTATTCCAAATCCAGATTTGAACCAAATCACATACAGAGCTCGGGAGTTGACGAGTTGGGTGGAGACTTGTCTGCAGCAGGAGGAACTGTTCCACCCTGCTGCCATTGAATGTTCACTTCCTGTTTGTATTGACTGGGCCCGCACTTGTATGGTCCATTCATAATGGTGGCAGCAATGGACGTCAACCAGCTGAGGAAATGGCAGCTGGACTGCCTCGCAACTGCTCGAGCTCGTGTTTCAGTGGGGCTTCAAAAGCAGAAGCTCCACGCCACAATCAATACAGTGGAATATCTGTGTGCAAGATGGCGGCACCCGTGTCCATGATATTTTGGCTTTATTTGAGCAAACAGGAGGAAGTGGAGACAGGTCGTCCATCTTTATTTAAAGTCTATGATCGAGTGAGTTTAGTTTTGTTAAAAGTTAAACTGTGTGAATAAAATCTGTGTCAACAGCAGCGCAGTTACACAACACACTGAACAAAGAAGCGCTTTTGAGAACATGTGAACAGACACAGAGCAGAAACTCAAACGTCCCACAGCGCGTGTGACGCTGCAGTTACGCGTTTTGACCCCGTTTTTAAACCCGAACTTGCACAAACTGGAATCTCTCACGCGGATTTTAATAACACGAGTCGATCTACAACAGATGAATCGGAAAAGATCTGTGAACAGCACTTTACAAACTAATATCCTAACGGCCCTAATATGAGTCTTTATATGAGGACGTTTTCACTGTTTTCAGACCAGATCAGATAAAATAACACTGGTAGATTCATATTGGTCACAGTGAATATAGCAGTGTGCAGTGTAGAGTATAGAGAGATGGCCTTTTAGGGAGAATTGAACACATCATGGATCAAGCTCTTTGAAAGCTTTTTGTTCTCTGGGAGGCTGAGAAGCTTCTGCTCTGAGAACTTTACAACAAATTGAAGAATATAATTGAACAATAAGTTGGGCACATTAAGTGTGACTCCAGACTCCCTCAATCATTTCACAGTGAGTCCTGTATCAGGATTAACCTCTTGTTATATTTCATCTTCTCACAGAACATCATAGCAACAGATCTACTCCAACTCAACCCTTGGTGTTGATATGAAAGTCCCCTCAGCGTCATCGCTGATGCAACGTTTAACAATCAACAGAACTATTTCACACATTCATCTCTTTGCGGATGAGCTCTGAATCTGTCAGATGAATAAATCTGCTCTGAACATTTGGAGATGCAGGGTTGTGGTGTGATGCTGACGTCACCTCTCCTCCAACTCCTGGGAAGTGACCCCTGATTAACAGGATCCACATGACTCCTTCAGTGATTTCTACGGGCGAAGGTCGAGAGTAACACAGCCAGGGAAACTCTCTGGACGTTTGATGGCGCATTTGCATTCCTCAACTCTGACGGTTAAGAAATCCACCTGATATTTCAACATATCGACGCTCAGGCCTGTGTAATGTAAAGGCAGCACTGTGCACTTGGCCAGGACGTCGTGTATTGTATTGCATCCATGAGCGTACGGCTCTCATTCTTTCTCCGCTACTTTCATTGAAGAATTCCTGACTGACGGAGGCAGAGTGACTTTGCATGTCTGAGGGTACCAGAGCAACAGATTCATACACTGCATCAAGACACACAACAGCTCACCCTTTCTCATTCTGCTTCTAATATACAAAATCTATAATAAGAGTTGATGGAGTTGGTTGAGGTGTTAAAAGGTCGAAACATTCGCTCATTTTGACGAGGATACTCTCTTCCGTTCACATTTCTGTCCAATTATTATCTCCATCCAGGATGTAATGTTTTCATCCCTGTCCGTTTGTTTGTTTGTGTGTTTGTCAGCAGGATTACGTCGAAATTACCGGACATATTAACTCGGAGGGACGGATTGATCTCAAAATAATCCATCACGACCCAGACCTTCTTTTTAACTTTCATTATCATTGAGCGATAAGACGTTTTGGGACATTTTCACCAATTTCCAAGACAATAATATAAATTCAGCATATATGTCTGACTCACCTGATCACAGCCGGCGTTCACCAGCTCTTGCAGCATCTGCCGGTTCACCTCCCCAGCACCTGCTGGGTGCCCCGACCCGGAGGATGGACCCGACTCATTGGCGAAGGGCATGAGCGACTTGCGGATTTCCCGCAGGGCATTCTGGTAGTTGTTGAACTTCTGCGGGGGTCGGAGCTGCTGCTGTCGGCTGGTTGTGTCCTTCCCGCTCTTGCAGTCGGCCCCTCTGCCGCCGTCTGCCCGGGAGCTGCCCCCGTGCAGGGCCTGGCTCACCAGCTTGGCCGGCTGCTTCAGACCCTCCTTGATCTCCTGAAGCCTCTGGCGCGTGTTGCCAACGTACGGGGCGGCCGGGAAAGTCTTTGGCCTCATGGCCTCAGTGCCCAAGGACAGGCACCTACTCTAAAAGGGAAACACACACGCACACATGCACTCGCACAAACGGACAGTCGCTCCCCTGCACCCTCCGAAGGATCCCTTTCAAGCTGGCTGACCTAAATAGATAAAGAGTGTCCCGCAGCAGATCTGGGAGTCCCCGTGTGTCCCTTTATTTGTTTGCGTCTCTCTTTGTGTTTTTGATTCCTGCCGATGCTGGTGGGGTGGCTGAGGATGATGTGGGGATACTACAGACATTCCATGGTGCGGCTCTCAAGGCTCAGGTTCCAGCTTATTCCAGGAAATGCAGCCGGTCACGAGGGCACTGCGGAGCCAAACCATGATGCTGCCAATCTGCGCCTGTGGAGGAAGGGACACAGTTTGAGCATGAAGAATGTGGTCAAGTAAAGTGTTGGTGCTTTTGTCAGATTCTAAAATTAAAGCCAACACTGGTCTGTTTACATCGTGAGCACAGGGACGTTAGAAGCGCTTTTAAGTGATCAGAGCTTTAATTCCTCATACGTGTTGTTATGTGTTGTACGTGCTGTCTGAGGGATAAGAAGGAAAATGCCAACATGTAGCGCCCAACTGATTTATCATTTAGATCATTTTAAATCTCAGAAAATGGCAAAAACAATACTCATCACCGTCTCCAAGAGCCCAAGGTGATACCTGGAGTTTGAAGAGTAACTCAAAACAACAGAATTTCTTGTCAATCAGCTGTTATCTGGTAAATGAGGAAGATTCTTTTCCAGCCTGATATCAGGATTATAATATTCTCAGTGACGTCTCAAACATGGCTCCAGTTACAGTCTGGTATAACCTGGATGTCAGATTCAGTATCAGTGGGGCAGAAGCAGCGTTGGTGAATACCTAAGGCATAATAAGGGAATGTGAGGGGGGTCAGAAAATACCACCTGACCTGCCCCCCCTCCTCTGCATCACATCTATGCATAGTTGTGGTTGCACAAGTCCGGCCCAGTCACTTCATACCTCTGCTACGTGGTCATCAGTGACCTGTGAGAGCGCAGCGCTGCATCGTGGGGTCAAACCAAGTGAGGAGCCCTCCCTGCTGCAGCCTCAGACCCCACCCCCCACCCCCACCACCACCACCGCCACTCTGCCTGCGATTCTCCCCTGTGATCAGACATTTAACACCATCTGACAGTCTTATCTGGAGGAACATACTCTGCATTCTGCCACAGCAGCGTTACTCCTCCGGGGCAGATGGGATGACGTGCGGAACAAATGCACATGTTCCTGTCAGACGCCGTACGTGACGGGCGACAATGCAATAGTGGGATGTACAGTGTTTGGAAAAGAATCAGAGGAGAGAAGAGAAGAGAGGACACGGAGAAACGAGAGCGAGGATCACAGGCACAAGATCTGCAATAAACGCAGAAAAGTGACACGTACTGAATCTAAACTACAGTTTTTTTCTACTGAAAGCTTAGATTCTGTTTCTGGACCATGTCCTGTTTTTCACTTTCACTTTAAAATGACAGATTCAGTGCTCATGTATGAATCAATAGGTCACTAAAAAAATCTCTCCTATGACACAGTCCTCGTAGGAGGAACAGCTGCAGGATGAAAACCAGACTACTGCTTTATTCTTATACCACAGAAAGTAATTCTGTCACTGTTATGACAGATCTGCAGAGCGGAGGGGGGGGGGGGGCACCAAAAGTTCAAATCTGTTGAACTTTGACCTGAGCTCTGCAGACCATTGTCACAGCTCAAGCTGAGCGATGGATGAAATCTGAATTAGCCTGCACACGTTCCTGAATTTCCAGAAAAAGAACAATAACAAACTGACCCCAGATCAGACCAAAGGATGGTGGTATTACTGCTTGGTGAAATATCAGCTGGCAGAAGTAAGTCTGAAATATAACCGTCCTGCTAAGAACGTAACAACTGTAGATAGTAAATACAGCAGCGGCATAGTAAAGACAAGTTTTGTCAACAGATAAGAGTTATTTTGTAAATTCAGGCGTCTGGAGGTAAAATTCATTTAAAACTACAAACAACAGGCAGAAGATAAATCCTGTGTCAACTCTACACTATAATTACAACAATTAAGTGTTTACTATTTGCTGCACCTTTGATTCAAACATCTGATCGACTTCATAGCAAAAGCTGCCGAGGCTCATGGGTATTGTAGTATTTATGCAACAGACTAATCTGTTAAAACACTGCTCAGAAAGAAAACTTTCAAAATGTGAATTCACACTAAAGAAAACCACCACAGGAGGATTCTGGTGTTGTGCAATGACAAAAAGTGTAAAATAGCTCATTGAAATGAGAATTAATTTGATGATTCTATGTGACTTGCACATATTTGTAATAATATTCTGTATTATAGATTTACAGAAAATACGTTTTATCCATTTCGTAAATGCAAAGAAGAAGACTGGGATCCCACCAGAGCTGCTGAACTTCACCCCCACCCTCCATCCCTTCGGGGCATTTCTCAGAACGACACAGCTCTCCCTGTTTGCACAGATAAAACTCAGTGTAGGCGAAAACATGTTGGTTTTTTTATATTGGTGGGAGACGGAGAAGGGCGGAGCCAAGCTGCACAAATGTTGCCCCATCTCTGGGATCTCTTGCCTCCATTCCTGCAATGCTTCAGGCGCCATGTCTGACCAACGAGCATGCCATTCCACAAGTAACTACAAGTAAACTCATACCATCGATGAATCATGGGACAGACTATGCTGACCAAAATAAACTGAAGGAAAAAAAAGATCTATGGATGATCGCTGTCTGGAAATAAGTCGTAGGAGGATAATGGGTCCAACCTGAAAAATTTAACAGAAAATAAAAGTGCAAAAACATTTTCCTGCTGGTATTCACACCTCCTACACACAGCAAACTTCCTGCACCAACACACACCTGAAGCTTTTCTCTGCTTTGACCCAAACCTCTAAACCTCTGACTCTAAACTGGAAATTCTGCTTCCTATGACAATTGAAGTAATGATATTTCGATGTTCGATGTTTCCAGCTGCACTAAAGTGAAAAGAAATGTATTTTTCTGACCTGTGGCTTTAAATAATGAAACGAATTAAAAGCACTTTTCTCTGTTTCCTGTCGGTTGTTGTTAATTAATAAACCTTTAAAAATGGATGCGTGTTGTGTCTCATCACACTGAGCTGGTTTCTCTCTCTACATCAGCTCCACTCTCGTTTCCAGCCCCTGATGTATAAATACTATATACACGGTAGTTTTACTGTTGTCGAGCCCTTCTGACGATATTTTGGAAAAGAAACATGTCCGAGGTCTTTCTCTCAGCACGGAATTTTTGGTAACGTAAGATTTTACCCTTTCTGACTAAATCACTGCAGCTCTGATTAAATCTAAACTGTGTGATAGATTTTAAATCTGAAGGATTCTATTGAAATATGTACACAGAGGAAAAATAACAAAACTTAAGTCAGCTAAAGGCTAAAGCTTAAACAACATCTATAGAGAACCTTTCGAAACAGAGGTTGGAGCGTCACCATGTAGTTTTATATTGGATGCCATTGATACGAGGGTAAAGCTAGCGGCACGGTCTGCCCCAGCTAACACATAACTTTCATTTGTCCATGTTTATACAGACAAAGAGAAAGCTTGAGGAAAAAGCCTCAGAAGCTCGGAGAGAAAGACGACTCTGTCGCTGCAAAGCAGAAAGCTGCAGTGGTGTGTAAACCCCCCTGGGCAGATTAGTTGAGTGCTGCGCTTGGTCGTGGGACTGTTTGCAATTCATCCCGTGTAGAAAAATCAGTTTCTCCTTGTGTGTCAGTAGTTTTAAAAAAAAGCAGGATTGTAGAAAACCCTGTAATCTGAGCTCGAGTTAAGAGAAATCCAACTTCAACGTTCAAAACATCTCTTCTGCATACTTCTCCACACCCACGGAGTTCATCCATCTTCACCAGCAGACACATGCACATGAAAAATCAGCCTCGGCCTCTGCCAGAGTTTACATCATCTCATCCCCACATTTCACCTTCAGCTCTTTCCATTATCTTAAGACCCATGTTTGTAGCTTTGTCTTGTTGCCGAGCCGGGATCTGGCTACCTGCTGGTGCACAATACAAACCCACAACACAGCTCAAAATGGCCACGGCCAACATCTGCCAGCATCTGTTCCGTTTGTAGTCCAGTGGGTGATTTCTCACCGCAGTCATCCCTGCAATTCCTCCCTGACAGATGCCTCTGCACCGCCTGACAGAATTAGATCCAGCTGTGGCTCAATACCTGATGACGCACCACCAGCACAAACTCTGTATAATAGCTCTTATTGTTAGAAAAAGAAAAAGTGACTTCTCACCCCTGGGAAATAAACTGGCAAGTGTCTTGGGTGCTATTATCTGCTTTGCATAACTCGGGCCTGCTGCTCGGTAATCGGAGGAGTCGAGTGGCACAGAAACCCTTAAATAAAAAAAACCCTGAACTGACAGAACCAGACACTGCTGGATATTTAATGTGGTAAAAGTGTGTCAGGCAGAAAGAGAGAGTGCTCAAACGTCGTACTATTAGCAGCACACCTGAATGGAACACATGGTTGCATCAGTGCCAAACTATGCAGGAGCTGAGTGAAAATAGCACGTTCAACGACAACTTCTGCAAACGGCCAAAATGTTTTCAGGACGCACGTTTTCCATCAGTTAATACTGAGAATCATCAGCGTCAATGTAACATTATCATTTCTGTCAAGTTTACAAACTGACTTTAGCTTCGGAGTTTTTGGAAGGTTTGTTATATTTACATCAAATAATATTTACGATAATGATTGTTTAATCGCCCACTCGCACATCTGCACGATCAACCCCCTTTTTCTCCAGGTCCCTGAACACGTTACAGTGATAAATAAAACATGATCCAATAGTTTCTGGGTTTTTAAACATGTGTCACAGAGAGAACACACACACACACACACACACACACACACACACACACACAGGTTTGACTTCCATTCATTGAGGACAGTCTAAAATCCCTTACCTTAACTAATTCATGTCTAACTGTAACCTTAACCTCACCACAATTCACATCTGACCTCTGACCTCAACCAGCACTTCAGAAATGATGTTTTTCCTCATCAGGACCCGGCTCTGGTCCCCATGAGGTCCACTGGTCCTGACTGAGTGTTTATACTGCAGAAGGTCCTACAGAACTGGGATGGCTGCTAAATGTCTTTACTATCAACTTATGGGGCCTCAAAATGGGGGCACGTGCAAAAACATGGCGATTTCAGCATAAATGCAATTACTTGAAATTGGGATCATGTTTTTCAAGCCACCAGACTCCTAATGTATCACACACGCATGTTACAACGATAAATAAAGCATGATCCAACAGTTTCAGGAGTAAGTTTGAGACTAAAACACTAAAATGATCACAGGATGTTCTGAAACACACACACACACGTTTAAATACGCATACTTTGACGTCCCTAAACATGGGGAATCATGCAAGTACTTCAAACTATCACGAGAGAATCATGTTTTTTAGTCCATAATGTAATCAACAATAGGCATCAGTAAGTAATAAGTACTTAGGTGTGAGGAGTATAAAAACTATAATGGAATAAAAACTAATATATACACAGTGTAAAAACAAGATGTTTAGTGAAGTGATGGCACAGAGTTGAGTTTTTCTTTCTGCCACTAGACTCCTGATATTTCACCCAAAGTGTTGAAATGATGAATAAAACCTGATCCAGCAGTTTTAACTTGGAGCCTTTTTTAAACACAGAAAGTAGTGAAATCCTTCACAGCTTCTAGATCCCCTTTGCATGGGCCCTAAACCTGGGGGGGGGGGCCCGTGCAAGAGGCTCAACATGTCTGCAACAACTTGTCACCAGGTAGAGGATGTTTTTCTGGTTCTTCTTTTTTTATTTTTTTTTTATTAACTCACTCCAACATCTGTGCCAAAGCTTTAGAACCGTTACAAAATGGTGTCTGTGTAGTTAGTGCTGGAGGGGCCTTGGACATGAGAGGAAATCCCTGTTTGAACGTCCTGTGGCCTTCGACAGTGAGAGAGGGAGAGAGGGGGCCACAGCAGAGACCCTCCTCACCCTCCTCACCCTCCTCACCCTGCACAAACAACCCTCAAACTTCTCCCGTGAACTTCACCTTCAACACAGAGGAACTTCTTTCTTTCTTTCTTTTTTTTCTTTCTTCCCCTTCCAGCACAGTCAACAAGCCGTGCAGATAAAGCCCCAGCACCACTCCCCTCCACAGACTCACCATGTGAGAAGAACCAGCCTCGATGTCTCCAGGTTTGAGGAGCGACTCCCCGCAGGAGAGAGAGAGAGAGAGAGGAAAAGAAAAAGAAAAGTTCCGAGGGTCTGAGCGGAGGTCCGCGGGGGGAACCGGAGCAGTCGGACGGGCAGAGTGGACGTGATGAGAGCTAACTCGAACCTCCAGCCTCCATTTTCTCCTCAGCCTCAGAAATCAGCACAAAGTTGGACACTCGCTGCATTGTTAACATTCCTCAGGTCACGTGACGCACCGACGCACGTCAGCGCGGGGCCGAAGATCGTCCGCGACAGACAGGATGTGCTCTCCAGCTGTGTGCTCCTCCGGTTTCTTTAACTTCCTTGCACTTCACATCTGTTTTTACGAAAACGTTTTGAATTATTACTATTATTCAGTTATCAGTATTCACTCTTAAAGGGTTAGTTCACCCAAAAAAAAGTCTACACCCATGTTTTATTCTCATAAGATCACAACTTTACTCACATTCAGTTCCAACTCTATTCTTCTGTTATGACTTTTTAAATTAAATTAAAACTTTATTCTCTTAATAGAACTACTTGCTTCTTAATTCTGACTTTATTCTTGTGATATAACAACTTTACATTGAACTCCAACTCTATTCTTCTATTATGACTAAATTCTTAATTCTTCTAATCTAATAACGCCCTTCTTAATTCACATTTTATACTTGTAATATCAGAATTTTCTCAAAATGTTAAAATTCTACTATTGTACAATTATGACTTCATTAAATTACAACTTAATTCTCATGATATAAAGACCCCTTTCTCATCAGATTACAGCTGCTGCTGCCCTATTTATCCAGAAACCTCATAGTTCTTATGTAGGAAAATCAGTGTTTTGCTCAGATTTAACAAAAGCAGGATAATGGTAAAAAAAATTATTAAAGCCAAATCTTCAGCCTGTGCATCAATGATGGATACAGACCACTATGTGCAGAGTTTGTATGTGACTGCAGGATCCTTGAAATTTTTCAAACTTAGAAAATATGTTGGAAATCTGTGAGCCAGCGTCCCAGAGGCTGAAATATTCAACAGAGTGAGAGCTCTGTCTTTTCCCTCCTCTCTGACCGCACATATTCCAGGCGGAGCTTCCTCCAGAGCATTTGAGTCTCTGTTAGAATAAAAAACTTTCATCACTCAGTCAGTCCTCTCTGTCTGTGGGAGGAATCTATACCGAGGAGCCAAAGGCCATGAATCACTGAGGAAGCAAATAAAGATCTATACTCTGTTATCAGTAATCAAACACGAGGACCAGAGACCTGAGAGCACATGGGCCTCAAAACTTAAAATGCCTACAGACACACAAACACACACGCGAGGAAAAAAGAGTCATCCTGCATTTCCCAAGACTTTATTTAATCACTCACAGAGGAACTAATGAAGAAAAGGTGGAGCCATTAAACATGGAAGCACATGCACCCGTAACAGTAAAGGCCAACAGTGACAGTAGAGGTGTCGTGGAGACGCACAATAACAACTTAAAGAACTTAAGACATCAAACTGTTTCGAGAGTCAATTTCCTATTTGCTGTTGAATGCAAAGCAAAACCCAGAAGAACTAAAGGAAACATTTTTATCAACATTTTGCTCATAAAGTGTATTAACTATTCCTGTAAGGGACATTTTGTTATTTTTCAATCTGATCTATATGTTTCTAAATATTTGTGTGTAAATGAATGGTATAAAAACTATTGGAATCAGAAGAGTCGGCAGCAGTGACACGGGGCAGCTGCGACATATCGAGACAAAAGGTGCTTTTTTTTTCAATAAAAAGCTAAAACTTTTTATCCTGGGAGGACATTTTGTGGACTGTCGCAGTGGCCCCAGGTTGGAAGCTATCTACTGCATCCAAAGGTCTTCTAGGTACCATGCAATTAATCTTTAATACAAATACGAGGTTGAAAAATACCAGATTTCCCCTTTAACACTGGTGTTCCCTGATGCCAACCCCCAACAAGGTGGTTTCAGAGGTGGCAACAGTAATACAACAAGAAAATCCAAGGAAAAAGAGACAGCACAGTATCTAGAACTATGTCTTAATGTTAATTAAAAATGATTACTCTCAGTGTAGCAGCAACTCTCATGTGTTCTTCATCTTTTAACCAACAAGCATTCAGGTTTGCAAATTTAATTGTGGGAGGAAGCATTTCTGTGTTAAAGACCCATCCTGTAAACTTCCATCAAGGTTCATTGAAATCCCTTCAGTCGTTTGTCATTTTGCTTACAAACACATACACGGACAAGGGTGGAAACAGAGCGTCCTTGGCGAAGGTAATACGAGACATTTTTAGTTTTAGTTTGATGTGGAACCTCAAGGAATACACAGAACACATGACAAACACAACCAGTGAAAGACAAGAATATGCAGGGGCCTGAGTACAGAAGGCACAGTCCACTTTGGGGCACCACAACATGCAGATCTGTGAAAACGCTGCTCATGAACCGGACATCTTCTAAAGCCGTACACCAGAACTGACACAGTTTCCTCTTTGTCGCTGGATCAAGCTTCTCAATGTGTGAAAAACCTTCTTCGATTAAATACAGACCCTGAGCCAAAGCACAAGAACCACTGTTGAAATGTACAATCCATCCATTTAACATCGTTTGTACACATTAAATGGTACAAGGGGGACATTTCTCACTGTGCACACACAGATCTGAGTGAGCGGTGATGAAAGATGATTTACACTTCAGTGCTGAGTGTTTACACACATTTAGCTTCGTAGCCAAACTAGAAAAATAGTCTAAAGCGTATAGTAGGATGCAGAAATAAAGATCTGCGGAAAAGGCTGATTTGTAACAGCAGCTTAACAAACTAAGGCATCGGCAACGCAGGACAACAGAAGACGCGTTTCAGCGGACAGAGTTTTTGTTCACACAGGTTACACTGAAGATATTTTTCATTTCAAATGAGGACACGAAAACCCATATAGGAGCCGAAATTGACAAACTGTTTAAAAACAGCATTCCAGTGGCTGGTAACCATTCTTGAAACCAGCCTCCGGCTTTGTACTCTTCTCAGTGGTATGTAGTCACGGTTCAGCACGGATACAATCAATTAGAGCCGAACACATTGAACAAAGCCGGTGATGAGAATGAATCGGTCACAAATTAAAACGTACATTCTCCAAGAGGCGAGGCCGACGCACTCGGCCCAACAACCTCATCAGCAACACTTGCGCTGTCTCAACCCAGAACGAACACTGGTCGCCTTCGGGAAATCTTTCCTTTCATAACGCTATTTACTCCAATTACTCGCAATGATGATTTGACGCTGTGTGACTGTGGAGAATTGCAGAAGCATGTAGGAGAATGGATCTTAGTCTCAGTGCACAAGCGGCTGCCTGTGAGTTTGTCCGGCTCTATGTGACAATAACACAAAAGTATTTTAACTTAAAATGAATCTGGAAACATGAGGAACAACCTCGCACCGGAATATTTAAAAAAAAAAAAAATCTCAAACTTTGTATTCAATGTGAAGGTTTAGACAGTTTGGAGAAACACTGTATGAACATCTTTAAAAAAAACATACATGCAGAAATGTTGTTACACACTAGATGGCATAGTAAATATTGACATCATGTTTAATTACACATTAAAGGTCCCAGTGGCAGAAAATTAAAGATGAAAGACTCATCTCCACTTCCTCCCTCTGTCAATAATATGAAGACAAAATATTCTGGAGTGTTGACAGCTCATGTTATTTGGAGGCACGGACAGTCCCGCCTATACACGTGCTTGACCAATCATGAGTCGGTTCAGCTGTCTATCTTGATGCTTCTCGAATGTTTACGTCATCAAATAACTAATTAAATCCAAACCTCAGTGTGATAGAACTGTCTCATACGACATCTATGAGAAACATTTATTTGTCCATTCTTTCTCCATGTTAGCGGATGGGACATGGACCAAACTACGAGGGTTTCTATTATTTGAGGTTGTTCTTAACATGGATGTTTGTTCGAGTGCAGATTTGATGATTGACAGCTGAGTCTGACTCATGATTGGTCGAGCGTGTGTATTGTGCATCACATCAATCAAAACCAGACTTATCCCATGGTGAGTGTATTCTTGACTCTAGCTAGCAAGTGTGTGAAAATACATTCCCAGTATTTCATCCCAACCCTCATTAACCGTGTGTGTGTCCCTGCAAGATGAACGAGCAGCAGAAATGTTCATCTCAGAGCTGAAGCTGCACTGTGCATGCTTTTTAATCGAACCCGTTCTGGGCTGCATCTCTTTGTATTGTGTGTCCTGCAAAGGGAGAAAATAATCTGTGAAGTCAGCTGCGTTTGCTGGGAATGACAAAAACTTGCAGACTCTTGCCTGGCAGCACCACCCACACTGCAGTTTATATACCGTACCTCCTTACAAATGGCTGAGGACATATATAAAAAATTCATCTTACTCATACAAGGCTACCTCTCCGGATTTTCACCCACAGTTCATGTCTGAAACGGCTTCAGTGATGTGGTTTGTGGATTTGTGAGAAGCTCCTGTTTCCAAGTATATCCTGCCCAAGGTAACAGTGAGTCACACACACCCTCTGAGTGAGAATTAAAGTGGATTAGTGTAAATTAACTTCCAGTAGTAATCGTGTAGTAGTAACACAGGGATGAAGTGTGAGAGCATGGCGTAAGGTCCAAAGCAGTAAAGGGATTTTAAGTGCCTGACCAGCAGTAAGGATCACCAGGTGTTTCTGTACGAATCACTCTAGTGGAGCAGCAGAGATGCACAGGTTGTTTAAGGCACAAGCAACTTGCACAATCTTATCAAAGGTTGACAGGTTCGACGTGCGCTCAGAGGCCGCGGTGAAGGGGCTCTCGACGGGGCCGGTGAGCATGGCGTATCTCCGCTTCACCATGGAGATCACCCTCTCCACATGCCTCTGCACGCTCACCGCCTCAGAGGAAGAATCTGCGAGCGGCGAGCCCTCCGAGCTCCCACTCGCCTCTCCTTGGTAGCTGTAAGCTATTTTAAACAAGGCTCCACGGGCAGCCACGGAATCTGCAATGTCAAGATTGCGAGCCGCCAACACGACGTCGCCTGGGAGCAGTTTGCAGAGAAATCCACAACCCTCAGCCAGAGTCTTGTCACTGACGTTTCCCAGCACACCCCTGGACACGAAGGTGACGACTCCTTGCGGAGCCACACCAATCAGGTACTTCAACACATTATAACTTGTCCCTTCACCCTGAGAGGATGGCGCCACCCTCTGCTGCTGCTGATGCTGGTTGCCCCGGGAAACCGGCTCCTCGAAAGGCACGGTGAAACAGTCTATGATAACAGCGCAGTCAGGGTGGGAGGTGCGCAGAGCTGCCGGCAGATTCTTCCGGAGCTCGGCTCTGGAGGGCCAGAAGACGGCCGTCGGCACCAGAGTGGAGGACATGATGTTGACCATCCGGTGCACTGTTTTGGTTAGCATGCCGACTTTCACGCCAAAGCGGTACGCCAGGTCCTGGTTGCGGAGGTCCAGGCGGAGCCGCATCAGTGTGAGCAGCAGCTGCTGGAACTTGGAGAGCCGGACATTCTTCATCCCGTCCATGTGCGGAGCCAGCAGCCACATGACCGTCTCTAAGACAAAGTAGTTTGGTAAACCCGTGTAAAACTTGACTTTCTCCGCATCGTTCCTCAAAGAGTTCTCGGACAGAGACATTTTCTCCACAGACTCCCTGAGGGCCTGGTTTTCCTTCTTCAGGGCTCTCAGGATGTCTTCAAAGTTCACGGGGGCATCGAACTTTCCTTTCTTACTGTCACTCACAGATTCATCCTCATCCTCATCGTCAGTGCTGAGGGAGGAGGACGCACTTTCCTCCACGATGGCCTCCTGCTCCCTCTCCTCGGGATGCTCCTCCTGGACCCGCTCACCCACCGCAGTGCTGCCCTGGCCCTGGAGGAACAACAAGGCGTTGGCCGCCTCCACGCGGGCCTCCTGCTTGTCCAGGATCTCCACGGCACCCGGCTCCTTCATCTCTGGGGATAAGGGAGCTGTGGTGAACACAGAGGGAACATAATCTGCCGAACGTGGATTCTTCACCTGTTTACCTGCATGTGGAAACACTGGTGGTGAAAAATCTGAAAAATATAGCATAACGTAAGTATCCGTTTCTGGAACTTCCCTCAGTATCAGTCTACTTCAGTCAGTAGTTTGAGGATTTATTATGATGGACGTGCAGCCACTTATCGTCTCAAACATAAAGAGCAGTTTGATAACAGCAGCAGATTTTAAGGGATAGATTTAGGATCTGTCTAATCTTCCCTGGGGGAAAGTTAGTAAAGTTAAAGCGGCCGTTATGAACAGTTATGAGACATTTGTATGATTTTAAACAAAATGTATTGATGCAAAAGTGGCATTGAGCAAATCATAACAAGACCAAGATATTACACAGACTTCATCCAAGTTATCTAATGAATCCACAAGTTTCTTTTATTAAATAATAACTTTGCATTTACAACTACAATATTAAAAACATATGGTCGGTACTTTAAATACAGTATTAGTTTATATATAGTCTATAGTTGGTACCTTTATATCCAGTCTATGGTCTGTACTTTATATACAGTATTATACAATATGCGGTTGGTACTTTGCATGCAGTCTATGGTGAGTACTTCACATACAGTACTGGTACCTGAGATGAAGTGAGTACTACACAGTCTGCTGCCGTCGTTAGGGACCCAGCCCTCCCGGTTCACAGCTTCGATCCACCGCTGCTTCCTGTCCGGGTCCCGGGGGAAGCGGTAGAAGGAGAGGCCGGTGCCCGGGGTCCTCCTGTTCCTGCAGCCGGTCACCACACACGTGTGAACCATCGTCTGGAGCGCGGAGGAGGAGAGGAGAGCGGGGCCCGCTCCGTGGCCGCTTGACTCCCAAAATGGCGGACGACGAGAGGAGGGGACAAAAGGAGAGAATTAAAAAAAAATATACACCACATGGTAGTGACGTCATCGATGCTATTTTTTATTTTTTTTTTACCAACGATCTGATTGCACCGTTTGGGGATGACGTCACTGGGCTCTTTACTCATGGTCGACTCTAACGCGGTTTTAAATGTTTACAAAAATAAATGTAAAGATGGCGAAAAAGTGAAAGAAGTCAAAATTAGGAATTAATTACGAAAAAGTCACATATAGAGGAAATTATTTATTTTCTCCAGCTGTCATATTTACAGATTTAAAGCTAACCAGTGGCGAGTCGAGCTCGTGTGGAGCCCCGGGTGAGGGCCCGCGTTCCAATGAACCTCGGAATGACGTCGCGCCCGAACAATCAGAGTTGATAACGTTCCAATTTCACAGGAGCGAACTTTACGCAAAAAACTGGTCGAAACAACTTATTACGCAGGATTTCACACATACTAACGTAGTAAAACACCCACAGACTGTGATTGGACAGTACTTTGTGTACCACACATTTAATGACAGAAGTGTTAGTAAAGAGTAAAAACTCTGACCAGTTGTAACTTCCGACTCGGCGATGGAAATTCCAAGCTTTATTGGAACGTGGCATATCAACCATAAATAAAAGAAAGAAAAGAACAAAAAAATGGTAGTTACATCTATAACAGCTGTTTGTATTCAACACTGTGATTGGACTGTTTGGGTTAACGTCATGTAAATGGTGAGGTCACGCAGTATTATAACGATGCTAACTGTTAACTTTTAGCAAATAAATGTAAAGATGGTGTAAATAGCCAAACATGTAAAGTGCAGGTAGTGAAAAGAAGTAAAAATGGGAAAAGAAGGGGGAATAAAACTTTAAAAAATTAAATGTGATGTAATTTACATTTCAACAATCTGATTGGACCGTTTGGGACGACATCATGTCACAACTGTTTAGGGGTTTTAACAGTTAATTAAAAGTTGATTTTGATTTCTAGTACTTTGTGTATTGTAAAATAACTGGTTATCCTGTCTTGTCTGTGTAGACTAGAGTTCAGATAATGCACTTATATTGAGTAAATACATCTATCACCTTTTATTCTTAATTAGTGAAGTTTGAACTAAGACTCATGAAAATACTACACAAGCCTCTGGAGAACACATTTCAACACTATGTTCAGAAACATTAGGATTTATTAAATACAAGCCAATTTATATTTAGAAACATTAAGTCATAGAAGTGCAAATGAAGAAAACCAAAAACCAGCAGCTACAACTTGTATGAGCAGCGTTTTACGAGTTGAGATAACACTGGATTTCAGCTCCAAGCAACAGTTAGTTCTGTGCGCTGAGTTTGTACACAGCGTTGTTCTTGGCTCCCCCCATGTGCTGCAGCCTCTTGAGCTCGGTGAGACACAGGACGAACACGGGCGTCTTGGTCCCTACGTTGGTGATCCTCTTCAGCTCCTCCAAATTCAGCTCCGTCTTTTCTCCTGCAGAGGGCAGCACAGAACAGGCTTCGATACACGAGTGAATCCAACCTTCTCCAGTATTTATTAAACCAACACATTTGGGCTGTTTTGGTGGTTGTCTGGTTTATTTTGTGTTAATCTTACCTAATGACCAGTATGACTGCAAAGCTACAGTATTATGACCGCTCATGTGCACCGAGGGGTTTTCTTACTGTTGTGTGACTGACACACCATCTCTTATTTCTGCCCTGCTGCGTCAGAACCTTTCTCAGTTTCTACAACATCAGGTTCAACGTCTCACTCTGACAACCAACTTGTCTCCGTCATGTATCCAATAACATGTTAATCTATGTTTAGTCTGGAAGTGGTGTATGATGTATTTTTCTAAATCTTTTACAACTCAAAGAGGATATTAAGACAATACGTTGATATATTTGCTTCAATCATAAAAGGACTGTGGAACAGACCTGGAAACTCTGCAGTGAACTTGTTGATGTTGTGGACGACCTGGTTGAGGTTGGACAGAGTCATCTGCCTCATGTAGCGTGGTAAACTCTGGAACTCGCTCTCTGACACCGCAGACAGACTCGGAGCACTGGAGAGAGAGGATGCATTATTATAAAAACTTTGATTTATAAACTGCACGCCTGAGATTATATCACGAAATGAAGATAGAGGGAAATAAAAATAAATAATAGAAATGAACAGAACAGAGAATCTATAAAAAACACTTTTCTGAGCAGTTTTACCTGTTTTTATGTTTCTCTGTCCTGACATTTGGTTGCACAACTGCCACTTCTGTCTTTTTCAACTGAGTCTGGGACACAAGCTAGAGAACAGAAATCATAAGACATATTTTTTTACACAAAAAGCGTATGACAAGTGAGTTTAAATGACTGTGAGGTAAAATGACATGATGGCTAAACAACAAGGATCTTACTCTAACAAAGAAGTCCAGCTTTGCAGGAATCGGACACTTCAAATAACAATCTGATCTTGTCAGAGGTAAAAACAAGCAGCTAAGAAGACGTATTTTGAAGAGGATAAATGCCCAGATGGGCCAGGCGAAGATTCTTGTCCTTGGGAAAAATAAGGCCCTGGTTGTCTTGTCAGTACACAGAACTGTCAGCAATACACAATATCTTTAGTTAATAAGCTAAAACAAAGCTACAGGTGTGGTCTCCTCAGTTTTGAGAAGTTGAATTAAATGAAAACACAACTTACTTTACAGATGTCCTGTGTTACGGAGCTGAGGTCGGGCATCTCAGGGGTGCTCGGCTCCTGATAGTCCCTCCTGATGCGAGGTGTCCCCAAGCTGAAGTCCTGAGTGGGATCGTCCAGCTCCGGTCTGTTAACAGCGAACTCCTCCGTCACCTGTTCATGCACACTCGTCTTCTTTGGGATTTTTGCACTTCTCTGGGAGGCAGAGAAGAGACACGTTAAACATTCATCAGAGGTTCAAGTTCAAATTTGTGGATTTGATAACTTTGCTAAAAAAAAAAAAACATTTGGTCTTACATTTTGTAGCGATTTCCCCAAAAGAGATTCCAGGTTCGGCATCTCTGGCATTTCCTTGTCCTCCATACCCATGATGGATGTCTCTGGCACATTGTACTCCCACATGCGTTTGGAGCCGGTTGCTGTTTTATGAGATGGCGTCAGAAGTTTGGACATGCGGACGTCATCATCAGCTTGCATGCTGATAGGCTCAGACTGCTTTGCGCTCTGCGAACAAGAGGCACAAACTCTGAGTTGAACGTTTTCAGCCAGTCTGGATGAGCAAATTAAGATATTAAAAAAAAAAACACATAAACACATCATACCTTCTTTGTGCTCACAAGTCGGCTCAGATAAGGCGTTTGAAAAGCAGGAACCTCAGGGGTAGTACACAGTGGGCCCGGGCGAGGGGGGGATTCTGGGTCACCACTGGCTGCTGCTGCTGGAGGGGAGCTGTTCGATGTTGGTTTGTTTGTCTTTTTGATTTTGAACCCCTGGGTGCTAAACACAGGCGGTTCTGGGGACTCCAAGGTTTCTGCTGATGGCAAAAACAAAGTCATATGAGGGCAAACAGCAAAACGTGTTTCATTTCAGTAATTTCTGTTGTTTTCATGCAAAGAGGATTGTGAAGTTTTTATTAAATTAATTTATTAGTAGTGTTATTAAAGAAATTGTACCATTGCTATGTCATCATCAGTAATGCTCTTAAGTGACATTTTCTTAAATTGTGCTGATTTGAGTATTTTTAAATGAATGTCAAAATGAGAAGATGGGCTTTCGTTTTTTTTATTTAGAAAAAACATGTTCATATTTCTCAAAATTATTTTGGTATCAGAACTCTAATTTTTTTTGGCTCTAGAGTAAGAAAACTGTCATACCTTTAGTGTGTAAACTCTCCTTTAGAGATTCCACCGTTGGCACAGGTTTGTCTTGTAATGATCTGTTAAAGCAGAGGACTTTTATAAAGTAGGGATAAGCAGTGGTTATAGACTCCTGAGAGACCTCTGGCAGTACTGCTGCAAATCCTGCATGTTCCCATCAGGGGTCAATAAAGATCATAATTGTTTTGTACTGCTTCTAATACTCATTCTTTACCTTTGAGGCTTCTCAATGTTCTTCTGGATCAGATTCATCGTGAAGTCATTGTACAGACATATCGTGTGCTCGGAGATGCCAAAGTCGTGCATCTGAGGACTCTGAAGCTCGGTGTCATCCATCCGCAGGGCACGCTTGGGTGTTAAAGGCATGGGCGGTGGTGTAGGCGTGTTGAGTGTGGGGTGACGGAGGCTCATCTCAGGCATGGGGGGCACTTCAGAGCACCACTCGGCCCCGGCTAGACCTCTCTTCAGCAGCATCTCAGACAGACCAAAGTCAGAGAGCTGCGGGGTACGCATCACGTCAGTGAAGGGCGGCGGCCCCATTGTCGGAAATGATGAGGCCTGATCATCTCCAGCATCCTCCTGGCTTCCCTCTTCGTCGTCGTCGTCTTCTTCCTCTGCTGACTTAGTTTCACTTTCATCTGCTACTTCTTCAGTATCTGACTCTTGGTGTTTGTCTTCTGTAAAAGAAAAGGTAACAATAAAAACACAGTTGGTTCACGTGTGAAAGCCAAACTCCAGAGAAAGTCCAGACCAAACTGTGTGGACATCCGCCAGCGTTCAGGTCTGACTTCATGACTTACTGGTTGGTCTCTGGGCATCTCTGGGACCCTCATAGCCGTAATTTTCCCAGTGTTGCTTCAGAGTCTGGATGTCCTGACTGACCCTCTGCTCCATCACCCTGCAGGCCTGGATGAAGCTGCTCACCTCATTCTCCTGCGCTTTCTGTTGAGTCAGCTGATCCTGGACCTGCGCCTGCATGAGGACAGATCAGAGTTATTCTCCACAAAACTGACAGATAATAAAGATGATGTGTTAGAAACAGGCCGGATGTGTAAGTGTAAAACTTAAAATACAAGACTAGAGATATTAAAAACATGACAGTGACAAGTCTTATTCTTACTTATAGTACTTACAGAACAAATCAAACGACAGGAGTACCTGTAATACCTTGAACTGTAGTATTTGTGGGAGTTCAAACAGACGCTGTGTTAAATCAGCAGATTATTGAACAGACTTTGGTTCGGACAGTTTCTACCTTCAGGTTCCCGACGTCGCAGTTCAGTTCGTGGAACGCTCGCATCGCCTTGGCGGTGGCTTCTGGAATAAGATCATTGAATGAACCTGATTTAAATTGACTGAAGTATTTCAACGCACTTTAAAGCAGCCGGACGACTTCTCTCACCGCTGTCAGCGTCGTTCTTCTCGCGGTTTTCGAAAGACTGCTGGAGTTTGGAGGTTTCCGACTCCAGAGTCACCGCCAGCTTCCGGAGTTTGGAGAAGAACCGCTCCGTCGGCTCCATGTTCGCGCACCAGCCTGAGCTTCTCCCGAGGATCGTGACGCCACAGAAACAATCGTTTGTTTACATCTACTCTCACCTGGACAATCGTTTGGTTTTTGGCGCCTCGACTTTCCTGCTTTCCTGTTTCTTCTTCTTCTTCTTTCCGGCAGACTCGGCACTGTGTACTGCACTACTGCCTCCTACCGGTTGTTAAACATCACTGCAGTTTATCTACTCAAAACTTGTGTCTATCACCTTGTTATACATCCTACCACCAAACACTGCGACCCCTCGACGAGCGAGCCTCGTCCATCTGATATCATCTTTTCGAGGCATTGTATAAATAATTTTTCTGTCAGGTTAAACTTATTCTTGGATGTTATATAGTTTTCTCCCTCTGCTGCCTCCATCACTCTCTCGCTGCCATATCTGATTCAGCCTTTATTATCATAATCCAGACATGGTTGCCCTATGTTAACATTATTTATTAACAGAGCATAGAGTGGTACATCTGAGCTTTTCTGCAAGAGATTGAATGATGGAGTGAATAAATGTACCTCTAAATATTTGAAGGAGTTAGGCTCTATATAAATTTACACCTATCATGCATCATTTCCCTCTCGTACCGTCAAGTTCAGAGAGAACAGTAGGTGTGTAGCTCTCTTATCAGATACAGCAAGTGTATAAATACTGATCCAACTGTGAAGGTCAGTACGAACCTGAACGCAGCACGACTGAGGTGAGACGCCAAGAGAAATCCACAGCTTCTAATCTACACACATGTTCTGTTATATAACTTATCATAAATGTGAATTAAATGGTGTAATATTTCTCCGTAGCTAATTTGTCGGAACAAAGCTCCAGAGCCATGGCGATGTTTGGGAAGGTTTTGGAGCCTGTGGGCTACATGCAAACTGTGAGGTGAGTTTGCCTTCTCCATATAAATGTGACATCAGCTTTTAAGTGAGTCCTTTTTTATCAAAAACTGGGAGAGAACACTCAGAAAATAATATATTTCCAATGCATTTCCAACCCGTATGGTGCTCTGTCATTGCTCATATCACACAAGTCAATCAGTAGTGTGTGTGTGTCTGTGTGCGGATCAGGGTCCTGGTTCAGGGCATCTGCTCCTATCTGGGAGGCAGTGCCACAGCAGAGGAGATGGATCTGGCCAAGAAGAACCTGGACCACATCGATCAGGAGCTGGGGGCGACGGGTCACGGCCTGCTGGAGGACGAGGAGGTCCACCGGCTGGAGGACGACCTGGCGGTGGTCTACTACCAGCTGGGTACAGCGGTGAGGAACCTGTCCCTGAACCTCATACATGCACTAGACTGAGTATACAGATACTTCACTACATTAACATGACTGTGGAGGGAGAGTATCTGCTTCTCACTGTTTTACTGTGAAGGTTAAGAGAATGTGAAACAGTTAAATCACACACAGTGCTGTGAAAGTTATGCAAACATGCAAATGATTATTTTCTTTATACACGTTTTTAAATTTAAAAAAGTTAATGAAGGAAACTTTATTTCCAGAATTATTTAAATGTATCTGCTGGGACCAGATGTTTTATTACCAGGTTGCCCTGTCCTTGAACCGTCACCCATTTACCTCTGATATTTGTAGTTTTCATGAACACCACTAACTCTGCCAATTATCCTAAAGCGTGACTGACTGAACTCATCATGTGGAGTGCGTTATGTAAATATGAACAGATGTATGACCGAGGCATCTGTTTAGTCGTAGCAGCCTTCGCATTAACAGGCTTTTGCCTTTTTATTTTTCAGTTTTAATTATTTCAAAATGCTAATGTGAAAGAAAATGTGTCTACTCATCAGCGAGAAGAACGTGTGATGAACAAGCTCAAATTCAGAGTAAAATGTGGAACAGCAGGACGGAGCATTAAATTCTGGGAGAATGTGCGTCTGTCTTTTTAAGGACACTTTGGCGGTCGTTATTTTCTCTGGTGTTCATTATGTCTCAGCTCTGAAAACAAACATATTTTATTTTTTGGATCCCTTTTAAAAACGCTGGCTGTCCCATGAGCCTCATGCTAACAGGATGTGAGTTTTAGTTTGATCCGTTATCCACACGTTATCTATACCACTTATCCTTTGAGGGTCATGTTTGTGTTACTGGAGCTAATCCCAGCTGACATTGGACAGGTCGCCAGCGTATCACAGGACCAACAGAGAAAAACAACCATTCACACCCAAATTAACTTAATGCCAATCTGCATGTCTTTGGAGAGGAAGCCAGAGAACCTGGGAAAAAACACACACATACACGGGGAGAACATGAAAACTCCACAGAGAAAGGTCACGGCCAAGCTGGGATTCAAACTAGGATTGGATAATAAATTGATTTTTTTCTCAGGCCCACTGGATCTGAAATGACTGTTGATGTTATTTGTTGGAAAGGAATTCAAATATCTGCAAAAAAACACAAAACGACAACAAAGAGACAAAACAAGGCATACAACTACTAAAACAAGACGCACAACACAACCACTAAGAGACGTAAAATGACTACAGACACAAAATGAACAGGAAGAGTGGCAAAATGGCCAAAGACACGAAAATGAACACAAATTTCTTTTATTTAAAAGTTTCTAATCCCACCCCTGCCTCCTTGACCTCCATATCTCAAGAGAAACCCCTCTCATCTCCTCTTGATCCAGGTGAGGGCCCAGTCAGATTTCACCAAGAAGGAGACGGAGGTGTTCCTGCAGTACGTGCATGACCATCGCCTGGAGAGGCAGGTGACGGCGCTCTACAACCGCCTGATGGGAGTGTCAGCGCTGACCGACCAGCCCACCCTGCTGGAGCAGCTCATACTGACCCGCAAACCCAAACGCTGGGAGCTGAAGGAGTTCTGCGTCAAGGTTGGTGAAGGTGCAGGGGACAGCATGGAGGAGTGGGGGGGGGGGGGCTCCTCTGTGTTTAACTTGTCTCCCTACAGAGGTCGTTAAATTTTAATTCTCTCCTATCTTACAAGTCATTATACAGAAGCATGCACCCCTGCTTAACTACAGCAGGAGGAGGCCTGAGGTGACACAGCCACACAACGTCCTCAAGTACACAAACAAGAGTAGGAATAAAAACGTCAAAATGACACAGACAGCTTTTTGAAAATGAGGTGCAGTGAAGCTCTCATCTGTTTGTCCCCATGTTAAAGACCAAAGAATCAAGAAGCTACTTCAGATGTCATTCTATGAAAATAATGCAAATATGCTCAGTAATAGCACGGAGGAGCATGCACAGCTGTACAGGATTAAATATTCAGTTCCCAGACCAAAGAGATGAATGTGAGAGAAAAACATTGGGGTCCTGTGGGAAATGAAACAGGCTGCATCTATCTTCTTGGTATGAAAATAAACTGAATATTTAATAAGGCAGAGCTGTGACCTTCCCTGTGTTTCATGTGTGCTGAGTTGGCAACTTCCCCTTTGCTGTTGTAAAACCTTCTTTTATCCAACAAAAATGAGATAAACTTAAAACTAGGTATTCAAAGTATTCTGTGAATTAAATAACTGGAGTGTAACTGAAAAGATTTGACAGGAACAAAAGCAAACGTCTGCTTTGGGTCACATTGAGCTTACATTAAAAAAAACACAGAGCACTGGATGGTCCACTCACTTAAAAAAAAAAAAGGAAAGTCAATGTTTGTCCATTAGTCCATCTGTTGTTCGGCTGTGACCCCGAGCAAGACACACACAGAACCAGCCTGCTGCATAATGAGAGTTCACTTTGAGAGTAAATGCACCTCAGCAGTCACCGGCTTGTTTGTTATGTAAAAGCAATTATGCAATTACCTTATGAATACTCAAAGAGCGAACAGCAGAATGCAGACAGTCCCCTTAAATTCACCAGATCCCGATTTTTAGATTGCACAAACTCCTATATTTTTTTTTCATGAATTATTCTCTGAGAAATGAAGGTAGATGTTAAAGAAATCCATCCTTCCATCATCCATACTGCTCATCCTCTTGAGGGGTACATATCCTTGTCTCATGGGGGACGTGGCTGACATTGACCGAGAGCTGGGGTACACTCTCACATTCTAACTTACCGTCAATTTGGCAAACTGAGATATGAAGTGGGAAGCTCCTCGCTGCTAACCACTGCATCACTGTGCTGCCCACGCTCATGAATATCAATCCTCAAAACATGATTTTATTCATCAAAAAATCATGTTAAAAAAAGATTCCTGCATCTGCCGCTGATCTGGAGCCGCACTAAATTTCATTCATACCACATCCTTCCACCAAGTTTTGTGTAATCTTGATCACAAACAAAGGTCACAGGGGACAGGGGTGAAAACATAACCTCTTTGGCAGAGTTAATAATCTTAGGCATGACGTACGTTGGACCAACATTTATCCCTCATGATGTAAAGATCACTCTGAGGGCAGCGTAAGAGCTATTTACAAAGTGTTTGTTCATTTAAAGCAGCTGCTGTAAGGACAGGGTGTTTTCAGCTTAGAAACTCAAATCAGTCTAGATTCCACTTATCAGGGGGCTTTAGTGTGTGAGGCAGCCAGCCTCGCTGGATTAGCTTTAATGCTGCGGCAATTGCTGCTTGAACTCGGAGCTGGAGCAGTGATTTGTTTGTGCAGTGCTCTTTCAAGGACTTGTGTGTGCACTATGACCTGGTTTGCGTAAATGCACCGGGGACAATAAAAGAAAAGTGCCTCCACTGAGGCGGCAAAGAATCGCAAAATTTGCCCTCACGCTGCAGTCAGAGTGAATCTCAGTGAAACGATCCAGTAAACAATTCGATGGAACAAACTTTACTCTGCATAATGAGCTGAGGAATCGACGGTGCTCTGAGACGAAGCTGCAGTGACGTCAAAGTCACTCTGCAGAACCTGACCTTGTTAAGCAAAGGAACCACAACCGTGTTTCTTTAACCTTGGATCAAATCATATTTAAACATGTTGTAGGTGATAAGTTTATGTGTCGTGTGGGTTTTTCTGCTCCATCTGGCACAAGAACTCTGGTGAAACTCTAAGATACGCTTTTTAATAAGATGAAGAAAACAAAACTAAAACAATAATCATAGTATGATTCATTTTCACACCCGAAAAGCTTGGTTGCTCTAACTCCACCGAAGATCGGCAGACGCCACCAGGCTCTGCGCTCTTGAGTTCACCTTGGATAACCTCTGGTGGCGCTCTTTCTTTGAAATGAGTTTGGGACATCTGTGAGCTTTATCCAAAGGAGAGAGGACTCACCAGCCTCTGTTCACAATGAGATTTGGAAACACTATTCAGGTCAGTGTCTTCGCCAAAAAAATCCCAGATGGCTCATTGTGTTAGTAAAGACAATACAGCGTCATAGATGACGGACTGCAGCTGTACAAGGTATGATTGGATGTGAACTACACTTGTTTTCAGCCAAAATGAGCAAATGTGACCACAGCAGATCTAATTTTCACTAATTAAAATGTGTTAGAGTTATGCTCTGGTGTTGTGACTGTCAGGTACAGTCATGTCTCTGCTCCAGGGAAGTGATTATCAAAACCTGAAATCAAAAGTAAACAGAGATTTGAAAAACAGCCACTTGATGTGTTCAGTATTGGGGAAGCGGCGTCTCTAACCAACCATGAACCAACCAACTGTACAAACCACAGTATAACAAAAAGTGCAACATAACAGATCTGTGTGTATTGCTGCCTCATTGAACGCAAAAGCAAACATTTATGTTTCTAGAATGACTTTTAGTTCAAAAAGGCCTCTTTTCTGGATGTTCAACACTTTTTCATCCGTGCATTAAAAGAACCTGTGGTTCTCCCTGTAAGTTAAAGCACATTTTAAAAACTGATGACCACTTTTCTCCTCCTCTTCATTTCAACAGATAAACTTTGTCCTGGGCACCGGTCTGCTGTGTCTCTTCACGCAGGCTTCTCTGACAGGCAGAGATCAGGCTCTGCTGATGAAGACCTGGTCCGACCGCATGGGCGCCCTCTACAGGAAGATGAAGAACATGGGCGGCCGCTGCCTTGGATACTTCCTGGAGCAGGCGGAAGGGGACATTCGTAAACAGCTAAATGAGGCCGTGCAGAACCGTGCACCACCTGAGGAGGCAGCGACGGGCCTCCTGAAGACCCTGGAGAAGAACTATGATTGGCTGCGCTGGGCGGTGATGCTCCACCCTGCTGTGGGACCTATGGAGGATGAGCAGGATGAGGAGACAGAGGATGAAAAGGAAGAAGCACCTGTGGAGCAGCCGCCCAACAATTTGCTGTCAGTGGCATCTGAAGCTCCAACCCCCCACGTGGTGGCGTGCTACCGAGACACGCCTACTTCGCTGGACAAGAGCCGTATCCACCAGCTCATCGTGGACCTGGAGTGGAAGATCCCAAACCCGCCCCCTGAAGTGTACTCCTCCATCGAGGAGGACCCAGGAAGGGCGCGGCGCTACCTGGCCTCACGCATGCTGAAGAAGCTGCAGGAGGGGCTGGGCTCCGGCGTGGCGGTCCACGTGGTGCCGGGCAGGATGGAGATGAAGTGCAACTTCCCTCAGGCCTCCTACTACCTCTACGAGTACAAGCACCGGCTGGCCTCGGGCACCGTGTGCGTGTTTGGATGAAAGGGAAACGACCTGCTGTTCTCACACAGATGTTTCATAATCATATTAAAGTATCTGCTTTATTTTTGTTGCTTTCACACTGACATTAATTTGTCTTGTGTAATGTTGCTACAAATAAATGTCATTTTAGAGAAAAGAAACGATGACAGTGTTTAATTTCTTTCAATCACTCAGCCTGCCGTCGTTAATTAGCTTCTGGGGGCAGCAGCCAACATTTTGGTGCTTCTGGAAGACTAGTTTTTTTACTCATTAACGTTTCTCCACACAAAACACAAACAGCTCTACTCTTTGTAGGTGTCTTAGGTCCAGACAATGTTTTGGCTAAACTCTATATTAATATCTAACTGCATATAAATAAATGTAAATGAAAAAGCATTACAGTCAATGTGTTCTGCCTCTCTCTCTCTCTCCACACTGATGGTTCACCCGCTCAAACCAGAAACAGAGACCAGAAGGCCTCCGGACCCAAAATCTAGTCCCTCGTCTGCATATTCTTTATATTCTCAAGATCCTGTTTATATATCACCTTCCTTTCAAGCTAATTTTCAGTTTATAACAACTTGGGTCTAATCTAATTCTGTACAGTCATCCATTAACAGGGTGATATGTCCGGTGGGAAGACACACAAGAGGACAGACAATCAAACGGATGGTGTTTACAAGTTGAGCCAAATGACTTTTTGAAGGTAAAACTAAAGATGTAAGTTAAACCTGTGTTTTGCTGAAGAGTGATGGATCTTTGAACAACTGGGCAAGAATATAATTGATTAATTTACAACCTATGATCGTCTGACAGCTTGTGTTTCTAGTTGAAATCTATGTGATCCCAGGTCTTAGCGGTTAACTCGATGATTCCGATGTTGTTATTGATAGGGATCGTGGCCAAAACATCAAAAGCAAACCCCAAGTTGTATTCAAATAAAATGTCTGAATCGTTCTTGTTTCGCATTAAGAAAGCAGAGATGAAATGTTTGACCCGTCTTTACTGTAGAGGTCATTGCTTGTTCCTGGAGACGTAATCATTCCCAGTTCGAGTCAAGGCTTGAGAACTGTCCATCTCCTCGATTAGTAAATGTCCAATCATGTCCACATGTGGAATCAGCCTTGGTTTTAATGTCCATCCTATAATAACATCATTTCTCCTGTTAATTTCCGCAGCATTCAGTGAAAAAAGTCTTGTTTTTGGTTTTACACGAGTCCACCATCAGAGTTGAGCTCAATCATTTTCTCCACGTCCTTCTTGACATCTGGGAAGCCCTGCAGCACCTCCCGGAAGTCATCGCAGGACAGAGTGAAGCACTGGCAGTCGGTCAGCGCCTTCATTGTGGCCAGATGTTTGCCTTTGGTCAGCACACATGTCTCTGTAGCACACACACACAGAGGGAACCACAAGAGCGTGGTTAATGAGCGAGTAAACCCTAATGACGGGGATGAGCTCTGACAATTAATCCTAAATTAAATAACCAGACTTAGCCGAGTTGCTTCTGGAAGCCTGCTTAGCTCTAAACGCTGCTGAGCTTCGCTGCCAAAAAGATTATGACTTGTTCCCACTTTCAGCCCAAATTAAATCAGCCCCACAAATTGGAAAATGTTGATTTATTCACTTTGATTTGCCAATGAGTAAAAAAAAAAAAACCTGTCTTTCACACTGATAAACATTGAAAAATCACACTGTACCTACCTGAAATATAATCCGAATACATTTTTATTTCATCAGTAAATCAAAATATATGTTTTGAGACATTATCCTATGCCTGCCTCGGATTTCTTTCTCAATGCCATGGAAAAAAATTGGTTGCGGTGCTCACAGAGTCTAAAAATGGCAAGAGGAACAACCTTTCCTAGAAACATGATCCATGTTACTGTAGTTAATCCTCACAACAAGCTGCCAGCTGTTTTTATGGGGACGATCTCTGGCAGAAAGTAGCTCCAGTGAAAAGTGTTCACAGTCTGTGGATTATCCAGAGCGCAACTATGAATTGGTTTTATGAAATGTACTGATTTTAAAAAAAATGTCTTTAAGTAAATGTTTCAAGACAGGCATGTTACTGCTGGTTATTTTATTAAAATGTGCTCTATAGGTGACAGGATAGAGAAAAATCCCACCCACCTCCAAAGAAGTCTCCATCACACAGTTCCCTATCGTAGGACTCGCTCTCCATGAGGACCTGACCGTGGTCGATGAAGAACATGCGGTCGCCCGGGACGTTCTCTCGGACGATGACGTCTCCCTCCTGGAAGACCTCGTACTCCAGTTTGGGGAGGAGGGCACTGATGAAGTTTTCATCTTGGTTCTGAAACATTGGAGCTTTTCTCAGCAGCCGGCTGCACATCACCGTCAGGATTTGCTGAAAAATTATTAGAAATGTTTATTAATTCACAAGAAAGAAAGAAATCATTCTTTTTACTTTGACACTTGTTTTTCATTGGTTTTACTTCTTCAGACGTTTGGGTGTGGGTGAGGTCTCCAAACCTCTGAGACAGAGACACACTCACAGAACAGCCTCACGTCATATCAGCATGGTGAACATGGTAAACACACAGAAGTCCAGAGATGAGCATTCACCTCCTTGAGTGCTGAGGACACCGTGTCCATGACGTCCTTCTGGTCAAACCACTTCCCTCCGTAGCGAGCCTGGTAGTAGTTGCTGATGCGAAGCTGCAGTTCGGGCGGGAGCTTCATAAAGGCCATGTAGTGCTCCAAGCGACTCATCTGCAGTCACAAGGTGCCTCAGGTACTCAATATTTGCATTGTCATAGTTTTCCAACAGGTCATTTCTATCCTTCTGAAGACTTTAATATAACTGCTTTAATAAAAAGAGAAGAAATATCACATGAAGAATTCAAAAATAATTTAAATCCCTAAATTAACTTAATAACTAGTTAATTTAATAATTAAGAAAGGCCTGACATTCTTTATTTTAATCCTCCACTTTAAATCCAATACATTATTAGGATGGTCTATGTAATATTTAGTGAATATCAATTTTTTTACACCATCATTAACTCAGATGGTCTCTAACATGTAACATAATATAATATATTTATAATATCTGTCTTGTATTTCATGTTATGAATGAGTAACCCAAGAATCTAATATTATTGGGATTTCATCTTACTTTATCTCTTTGTCTTATGATCTTGTTTTAAATGTGTTGCCTTGTGTCAAGATCTTTGTAATTTGAGTTCTGGAAAGTTCTCCAAAATTAAAAATGCTATTAAATTAAAATCATTTTGAATTTGAATTTAAACAAATTTGTACTCATCACTACGAGCTGGTGTAGCAATTATTTAATATGGTCTGTATTTGCTGATGAAGGATAGTAATTGTCACCCATGAGGACCTTGCTCTTGTACTCCTTGGCTGCCGGGTCGGTGTTGGCTATCATGGCGGTGGCGTTGGCCACGAGGACGGTGTACATCAGACAGCCGGACACCATGCTGACCATGACGATCCACATCTCAACATAATCTGGGACCAACACACACAGCAGCTCGTTTAGTGTAACGTTTGGTGTATTTATATCTGAGAGTGATACACATTTACTTCAAATGAACTGAATATCTCTCACTTGTTGGAGCGTCCATGGAGCCGTACGAGAGAGCAATCATCTGTGAGAGAGCTCGAAAAACTCCCCATGAGTACTTCACAATCACTGTGGCATTCTGGAACAAATATTTATGTATCATTAGAAGTAGTGTCCGTAGATCTGGGGCCTGGACCACAAAGTAACAGGGTCTGGCTCTCTTGAGGTTTCACTGTGCTGGTCCTTATCAGTCTGGTGACTCTGCATTCATGTGAGAGCGTAACAACATGTTGACAACCATGAATTCTGTGATGAGTTTTACCATCAGGTTTTCTTTGCGGACCCAGCAGTCAGAGGGGAACTCCTCCAGCATGGGCACGAAGTACTGGATGCAGCCGTTCCAGTGACACAGCAGGAAAATCATCATGAACAAAGACAGGATGCGGAAGAACAGGCGGACCACCTCCAGGTTTGCATTTGACACCTGATGAAGAGATCACATGAAACGACATGTGACTTTATGGCACTACACATCATCCTGGTGAGAAGGAACATAAATTAAATCTGAGGTTCACTATGTCTTTACTTTTCTTGAAGCATCTGTTGTTTGAGCTCTTAACTTTGGGCACATGTGATAAGAAGCTTTGGTTTCACAGATGACTTTGTAAGTGGTCAAAGTCAGATTTGTCATCTGATCCAGGTCTGGTAAGATTTCAGCGGACAGGGAGAAAGGTCGATAGAGTTTCAGGGGTGAGCTGTGACGAGCCTCCGGGGTTTGAACTTACTTTCTCCACTTCGTTGAAGAACCTGACGAGCCGGGACACTCGGGCGAGTCGGATCAAGCTGAGGATCCGAACAAACATCAGGATCCTCATCATCTTGTTTGTCTTGGACGGGTTGTCATCGTTGTGGTAATGCAAGTCCTGGGAAAATGAAATCAAAAATGTATATTACCTGATATTATCGTGAACTTTTATATTCATCTATATTGTAATACTCTGAACAGATCATTCTATTTACTTTTCTCAATTATTTACTGTCTGTAAAGCACTGCTCTAAGTGCTACAAACGTTTTTAATTATACACCACCAACAAATTCATGTAAAATTAAGAGCATGGTGGTTTTGTGCACTGACGTGTTGCAGCACACTGTGGGCTTTTTGCTGCTTCAACAGTTTTGATCACTTCATTACCGCAAACAGCAGAATGTAGCCGATCGGGAAAGCAGCTATGACGTCCGGTATGAACCATGTCCTCAGGTAACTGAGCCGGATCCGCTTGATATCCAGAATAGCTTCCTGTGAAAGAGAACAGAGCAGCAGATCGAGCAGATGGATGAAGACGCCGTGCAGCCGGATCAGATGTATAATTTAACACTTGAACTGAACCAATAGTTTTGGGCGATTGTCCAACATTAAAGGAGACAGTGATGTCAAATGAGATTAGCGTTGTGCTCAAAGAAGAGAATCTTATTTGAATTGACGGCATCATTGAGCTGTTGCAGAAGCTCATGCATGAATATTTCAAACAAGGCAAAAACCGACTGAGGGTAAATCTGGAGAAACCAGATGCTCGGGAGGTCCAGAGTAAACACCACAGATGGGCCCATTTGTGATTGCCAAGATAGAAGTGCCGGAGCATATGCAGATGAAAACAAACAGGATGTAGTTGTCTGCATAATACTTAATTGGAAATGTTATACTTCTCAATCGCCCATTACAATAATCCCTGTTATAAAATCAAACAGCAGGGGCCAATATCGCCCGTGTCCAGGAGATGAGGGGGCAGGTTTGTTAATCTAGCCTTTCGTGTATTGAGTAGATTACAGATGGGACAGAGATGGATTGTATGTGCTTGTCTGCACGGGGATTATAGTCTCCCAGATTGTGTCTGAAAATAGAGCACAGCCACTCTCACCTCGCTGTCCTCTGCTATGATGCCCATGCGGAAATTCAGAGCCACGTCTATCAGGAACAGCGTGTCTGAAAACACGTTAAATCCTTCCCACGCCAGCCCGCTGGTCCCGTCCAGAAAGGCTATCTCCATGGGAATCCCGATCAGGTTGAGAAACGTGATGGCCATCATGCACATGATGTAGTAACTCCTACAGCACAAACAAACATCACATGTGACTGTTGAGTGACCCTCAGATCTTGTTTGCTATGTAGTTTTCTAGAGTCTCAGTTCATTTGCCAGAGGGACTCATTAGCTGCAGCAGGAAGATTCTCTCTGATACTGTAACTGCACATCTCCTCAGCCGGAGCTCAATACCAGGCTCGAATAACTCCCTGCTCTCTGATCCCGATTGTTTCATCCCCTCTCTGTTTTCACTCCATCTGATCGCCTTACAGACTAATAATAACAATATGGATAATGCAGAGCCATTCATCTGTGAAAACAGGCTCTTAAAGAAGTAATTTGATCCATCTGTTTTTTCCTCTTACAATCCTCAACTGTTTAAATGCACCTAGAATTTAAATGTTATCATTTTAATTCTCATTTAATTGTCTCTGTTATTTCTTATGTTTATGTTTCTCTTAGATTTTACACAAATGACACTGAATCTGTTCACGCACAAATGGATTTCTGAAATGTGACACAAATAATCATGAATGAATAATTGCATCGTTTAATAATAAGTAAAAATATTAATAGGAAAAAAGTAGGTGAGTAGGTGAGGGATTGTTTTTTTTGCTGATACATTTTTATTTATATATATATATATATATTTTTTTTTTAAAGATTTATTTATGATTCAGATAAATTACTCAATTAATTGGCCAAATAATTTTTTTATAAATTTATAATATTATATATATATCATAAAACACAATTTCCTTACATCCTAAGCAGTACTGTAAAACCGACGAGCTGGAACTAGAAAAATGGTTGCTTATTAATTTTCAATCAATCAACAATTAATCAATTAAATGACTCATTAATTCAGTTCCAATACAGACATAGATAAGATAAAATAAGATGATAGCAAAATACCTGCAACAACTCACTCCAACAACACAACTTCTACAACTGTTTGGAGGTATGAGGTTGGGGTTAGGGTTAGAGTCCAGGACTGGCCTGAATCAGAATGATCAAATACCTCATGAGGCTGAAAGGGTGAATGACAAAGACCCCGCTCTCCAGCTGTCGGAGGCACTCCTTCTCCACGGCCACCTCGCTTCCGTACAAGTACAGCGACTGTCTGTTCAGCTGCGGGAGGAGCAGGGCTCTCCATCCACAGGTGGCCATAGTGCATCCCTCAGTGGGACCTTTTAGTTTCTCCATGGCCCGACCTTGGTCCCCTCTGATCAGCCCATCGCAGGCTCCATCCTCCCTGTGCTGCTGCTGCCTCTTCTTCCTCTCAGGACGAGTGGAGTCTGACTCTTCCAGTTCTGACCTCCCCTCTTGTTCACAAGGTAATTTTCCACCAACGCTCCGAACCTCAGGGCTTATAGAAGCTGTGTGGAGCTAGGCGAGCGGGCACCCTCCTTTCAGCTGCCTGCCTCACTCCCTCCCTCCCTCCCTCCCTCTCTGTCAGCCTCTCTCTACTTCTGCCCCCACCCATCCCCTACACTTCTTTTCTTTTTCTCCCAGCTCATCAACTATTCAGTGTCTGTGTCTCATCCCCACATAAATCAAGCCATGTCAAGGGGGTAAGGTCCAGCTCACATTAATACTGAAGACAATGGCGTGTGTGGGTGTGTGTGTGTGTGTGTGCATGTGTGTGTGTGTATATGTCTCTGTGTGTGTGCGTGTGTATGCGTGTGTGTGTGTGTTAAGGGGATCACAATTATAGTCATGTGAACTCGACATCTGCCAGCATGTGCAGAGGACAAGTTCAGTCTGGGCTGTCTCTATACCAGGGATGTAATTAAACACTGTACTGTGTTACCTGATGCTAGTGATGCTGTACATATGCTCACAGCTCGGAGCCAGCTTCCGTGCTACCGTGCACTTTTCACATCAGAAGCATAAACACAACTCAAATATTTCATTTCAGGAATCACACATGAGTAGAAGAGTGGGATTTTATTCGTGTGGATCTTTTTCACTTTTCCAGCGGAGGGTTGGTGGGATTTTGAGGCAGGTTCAAGTTTGAACAAGAAAATGATGTTACAGGATGTAGCAGCGCAGTGGGATTAGCTGAGGGGTCATCTCAGTGGGTGAGGTGAGATGTCTCATAATGTGAGGGACAATTTATGAGATTACTCTGCTCAGAGTATTTCAGGACAAGAGAAGAGAGGTACAGGAAACAGCACTTGTGATTCTACAGAAGAAAAAAGAAAAGGTTTCTCCAATACTTGTTTTAGAAAAGAGTTGGATGATACATGAAGTGTTACTGGAAAACACGGTGTAGTAAACTACTACAATAGGCAACTACCCCTTGTGCACAGGAATATCAGAGCTTTTGTACTTTTTCTGCATCAAATCCAAAATACAGTTTTCAAAAAACATTTTAATCTTGTTCTGGAAACATGATCTGTCCAAGAGAAAGAGGAGTGAGTGGGTTAAACCAACATTTCGACCAAATCAATCATCTGATTTATAGAGATTTAAATCAAGACGAGTGGGTTGTTCTTCATACATTTCCAAACGGTCCACATGACCATTTAAAAGAATCTTTATGTATTTTCTGATCTGCCACTTCTATAGTTAAGGCCAAGTTAAGTGCAATACAGGAAGTTGCAAGTATGTGATTAAAAGGCAGAACAAGATATTTTTTATCACCTGAGTTCTTCTTATTAGAGGGTTGATATTTGTCTCTCAGTAAAATAACACTAACATGTTTTAGTCTGACATTTGTTCACCAGTAAACGCCTGAGTTGTTGTATTTTGCTTGGATTAAAAAACACTGGTGTTTGTAATCCATTGACATAATGTGACCTAGATACATTTTTCTGGAGCGTTGTTTTGTGGGATGGCAATGCAAAGCTTGTTGGGATATACAGAACAAGGGAGAATTATCAGATGTGAGCACAACAAACACCAGTCAAAAAAAGGAAAAGACTCACACTGCTGGAAGCTTTAGCCGACATGCAGATGAGGCGGCACATGGTCAGGACCTCGGCTTACTCCTCTTCTCCATCAGGGGGCAGATTTCTACAGGAAAACCCCCCAAAACAATGACACACTTAAGATAAAACTCTGAGTGAATTTAAAGGTATTTTACTTGCATGTTCAGCTTTTGGTTGAGTGCCACACCAAGTGGATTCTAATCCTGGGGAAAGACTGCAGAGTGTGTTTCACATGGAGATGCACACACACACACATACATGTATATACAGAGCACACCTATAATGTGCTTACTTGCTCATTTATCTAGCACACAGCTGGCCCTCAAACCAGAGTAAGTGACTCAGTAATGCTGCTTACGCACTGCTGCGCTGCGCTGACGTACTGTGGACCCAGCAGACGTGGAAACACACACACCTCCACCCCTGTCGGACAGAACAGGAACATTTTTCATTTTAAAAAACTCCCAAACCACAGCGGTGTGCCCATCAGCAATATATTCTTACAGCTCCGAATATGATATCTGCTATAGAACCTGCTCGTGTGGGAAAAACAATAACTTGGTGTTTTGGCGGAACACATCAGTAAGGTGTGATAATAAACTTTGATTTAATCATGAATTGAAAGAGTTCACTTTTATATAGGTCAGGGTAAGTTTGAGGCTGTGTGTGTGTGTGGCAGTTAATACATGAATCAGAATCACTGGAGCTTATAATTATATATAATGATATATAATTTGAATGGTTTGTTTAGGGTGTTTAATATCGATCTCTTGTCTCCGTCTATAGTTTATATTTACCAACTCTTTTGTTAGTAATGTTTTGTCGAAGCTGTTAACAGAGTACTGTTTGTTTTCTGAGGAAATAATGAATCAATTGTGTGAAACAGAGGACAGCAGGGACCTGGAAACAAATATTACTCAATAAGCAGACGCTGAATTAAGATTATTTTCTAGAATTTAGAATAAAACCTTCACTCCACACAAAAACATTTATTAATTTACAAACGTTTTGTCTTAATAAATATCACAAAAACCAAAGTGTACATGAATTTACGCTGCAGAATTTAAATTGTCTTACCTTTCCCTCAATTGGCCGCAGAGGGCAACGTACTACATTTCCCAGAAGCCCTCGCTGCCGCCGGGATCACGTGAGATTGTATAAAACGGGGGCACGTGCTCTCGTCGTCCTCGCTCATTTTGAAGGTGAAGTCTTCGCAGTTCTTCGTCCTCCATCATCGTAAGTGACACAGCCGAGCTGTAGCTTCTGCACCGCGTTGAGACCCGCGTTGTTTTCCGTGTGGTCACCTCGTTCACCGACTCACTTCCTGTCTGTGAGCGCGCGCGCCTTTGATGTCGCTGCTGTTTGCTAACTTTAAAGAGCAGGAAGCTAAAAGATGCTAGCTCCTCCAGTTCACAGGTTATCAGGCACATTCACGTGTTAGAGGAAATAACGTGTGCGTGTTACATCATCGACCTCCTCCACTGTTCCTGCGTGGATCTGATTCAAACACACTGGCGTGAAGCGTCAGAAACATTAAACTGCTTCTTTAAAACAAGACATATTGCGTTAATGTCACATCACAGGGAGCAAAGCATCACATATTCACTCTGTCGAAGCCAGAACCAACGACCAGGAGCGTTTTTAAGTTGTGTGTTTTTATAATTAGTTTTTAATGTAAATACTTCCTCATACTACAACTGTTATTAAACTGCTATTTCCTTCATTCTGTGTTTGTCCATTACTTCCTCCTCTTGTCCACCGTCTGCTTCGTCCTCATGACTGCATACTGTGACCTGTGTACTGTGTTTTGAGTACTTAATATGTTTGTGTACTTGCATCTTTACATTGGGGATCAGAGAGAAACTGCATTTCAATCTCACCTGTCTTTTTCATACCGTCAAAGACTTTGACTATATGAAAAGATCCTTTCATGATTGAGAGGCAATTAATTATCCTCAAATTGTCTCTTTTCTTCTTCCTGAAATGTCCTGAATTGAAATGTACTCAAATGACAATGTTTAGAGCTTAAACCTTACATTTTGATGTTCATACTCTCGTGTTTTGTAACCTGAAAATTATGACATTATTTGAGTCTGTACTTGTGAAGAGGTCCCTGTAAGAAACTACGTGGCATTAATTGTCTTACTGTTTTCACCTGTTCTTTACTTATCAGTGTTGTCTGTGGATTAAGATGAGATAATTCAAATCTGCATGAACGACCTTGAGCCTGTTCTGAGATGCGAAAGTGAAAAATGCTCTTATCTAATGTTCTGTCTTTGTTAGTCTCCCTCAGCCTGAAGATGTCGACCGTGTCTGCAGCCAGCCTGGAGTCTGCTCATGTGGCTGAGAGCACTGAGCAGAAGAAGCCACTGAAAGCATGCTGTGCTTGTCCAGAGACAAAGAAAGTCAGGGATGCTTGGTGAGTCTCCGTCGCCTGAGGAACTGAAACATTCTGTCTTTGGAGAATATTTATTCATGCCTCCCCTTAATTTTTCCTGCACAGCATCATTGAAAAGGGAGCGGAAGGCTGCTCAGAGCTGATCGAGGCACACAAAGATTGCATGAGGGCACTTGGATTCAAGATTTAGCTACTCCATTTGTTTGTGTGGTGAGTATCGTATTCAACAATTACAAGCCTAAACTCACAAGGTCACTTTGCTGCATTAGCTTGTTTGAAACAAATCTCCTCCGACTGGGTCGTTCGTATCCCTCAGCTGCTTCTGATTCATCCACCATTGACTTGACTGAACACCTGAGCTCCAACAACCATGCACCAAAATATATAATTACTGCATTTCAGTTTTAAACATGCAGTTAACTCATGAATGAATCTAATTAATAGACATAAATACAAGGTATTTACAATGTCTAAAACTCAGTGAAACTATTTGCAGCACCTCCTTGTTCATGCAATTATCCAATCAGCCAATCATGTGGCAGCAGAACAGAACCTGGCAGATTTTTGGGACATCTGGTTACAAAAGATTTTCCCATCAGATTCAGTTTAAATGTGTTCAGATTGCTCAGTATTTGTGTCCGTGAAACATTTTGTTTGTTGAGGAACTACCATTGCTCTCTGCACACTTTTGAATGTTAGAATTTCATTTGTAGATTTTACATTCTTGCGTTTTAATGTCTCCATCAAATTTCATTTCAAACAACTTCAAAATTAGTTCTGAATCCAAGTAGACATTTAACTGTCCAGATGTTTAATAATCAATTATGTCATAATGGATACAATTTAAGATTATAGGTTTTCCCTTAATTGTAAAAATTCACAATAGCTGCCATTTTTTCCTTTAAATAATGTTTCAGGTCTAAGACACCTGTTTTCTGTTATTTGTATTCACCAGACTGTTTCAGCCTCCTCTTGCTGGGTCAGTTGTGTCTCTTGGCAATTGCTGATTTAATCCATTGTTGACCACGTGCTGCAGTATCAGACTAGAATATCATGTATCTAGGGGCACAGATGGGGGGGGGAGGGGTGTTGTGGGGGTCACATCTCGTCTTTTGTTGAATTAGTAATCATGAAACTTGCCCAAAGCCACACGGCTGAGTTCTCAGCAGGTTAACCTTCTTTCTCACCTGCTCTTATGAAATGAACTTAATTTAAATCCACATCTCAGCTTTTGCTGTGGGTTAATTTTTGCATGTGATTGCTGAAGTTAGAATCCTGATGTAATGCTCTTGACTTGTTTGACTCAGTGTTCAAGGTGAAATGCTCATTGTGTTCTTTTGTGTTTTGATTTCCCTGCAGTGTGTTGCAGTGAGTGGAAGAAAACCCTGGCTCCCCCCCCTCTTATTTATACCTCAACAAGAAGGGAACTGTAGAAATGATGGATTTAGACTGGGATGGTTCGACCTGTGTGGGAATGTTTTTTAATGTGAAAACCTAAACTGCTGTGTGTATGATTAAATAAAAGTTCTATGCAATAAATGTTGTCCGTTAAATCTATTTCAGTTTGGATTAAGTGCATTTGAGGGTTGTTGGTGTATATTCATCTAAAGGTCCTGACAGCCGTGAAGGTCCTTTCTGCCTGTGATCGGTTACTTGCCACAGTTGCTGTCCCTGGTATGCACTTAGGCTTAAAAATAACTCCTGCCCCTGCAAAGTCAATACTTGCCCTATCTGCATTCTTTCTCCACACACTGTCGGTGTTACTGAAGTGTGCCCGGCAGCGGACACATGGCTTGACATTAATTTGCAAACTTGGATGTGACTAGTTGATTGTGTTTTGAAACTTTGTTCACAGTGATGACCTCTTGCCATTAGAAACGTGTGAATACCTGCACACAATTTAAATGCGAATTTAATTTAAATCGTGTATTTGTGATTGCCATTTAAAATCAATCTTTGATCTCTCCATAGCATTGAGTTACTAAATTTGTGCCTAAACTCACACAGTATTATATGTAGTAACTACATGAGTCCTGTTTGATGCATTAAGTTTTTACAGCAACGATAATTTGTGTACATATTTTTTTCTAAAACTTTTATAGAACTTTGCAATTACATTTTTGACAATGAGTAAGATCTGCTCAGTACAAATCCCACTGTCAGTTACTTCTGTTACAATTTTAAATTCTTCACGCATCTAATATCAGATCTATAATGTTGTGAATATCTATTCCAATGATTGATTGAATTGATATTTTCCCCAGTTTTCTTAAATGTACTAACTTTAACCATAACCAAGAAAACTGGTTCTTTGTGTAAATAGTCATTTTATTTCTATTAAGTCTATTTTCACTGACGTTGTTCATACTCATTACTATTACATTATCTGTTTATGGCCGTGCACTGATAAAAGTTAAAACCCCCAGAAAACATGTATTTGTAATGAACTGACGTGTTCTCAGAGTTCTCCTGACTGTGACATGAAGGCGTTGTCGGAGCTGGTGGGTGTTTATACCTGAAATCTGACCTGTGCTGTCGTTCCACTCATTTCAGTGTCTCTAAATATTCCCCAGCGGAGCCACACGCTCTGCTGGGACTCAACTGGTGTCAGGAGCTGAACTGTGCTGCAGCTCTGGAGGAACTTTATCAACAAATGTGTGACCCTTTGTGAGTCTCTTAGATATTTGTTATAGTCCCCTCTCTCTCTCCTGTTTCCTGCCCCTCTCTCTCTTTCTGTTATGTTAAGTAGCAGGCCTGCTTTCCGTCCACCACTCTTCCCTCCTTGGGTTTCAATTCCAAACATGGTTATCCTTCTAGGGCTCAATCGGCAACCTCCCCCTCCCCGTGTCACTTCTCGTCCAGCTGTTGGTTGCAGGCCGGCGGGCGAGACACATAGGCAGAGGAGCACAGCGAAGAGGGACGACAGGAAGACGCAGAGGGGACAAGACGGAGGGGAGAGAGAGGAAGGGACACATTATGAAAGAAGAGGAGACATTCCAGCTGTGTTTCTATCACAAGTAGAGTCGTGAGAACGTCTTCACATTGAAGAATTTTTCACTGCAGCTCCAGGGAACAAACGTTTTTGCTCAGTATTTTGGGTCGAGCTGTGAGTCGAACAAACTTAGAGTTGGATAAGAAGTCTGTTTGAGTTTCAAACATGAGCGCAGACAACTCATCTTTGCTGGACAGCTTGTTGTTCGCCCCTCTGTGCGATGGCTGGACCAACAACACCGAGGGAGCCGTCTACCACCTGGGCAACACCATCCTGTTCTTGGGCTACATGGGGGGCAGCGGGGCCTACGGGTGCCTCTTCATCTTCGGCTTCCTGACCCCGGCCTTCTCGTGCCTGACCCTGTGGGGCTGGATGACCATGTGCGGACTGGATGTCTTCACCTGGAACCTGCTCCTGCTGCTGGCCTGCTTGGCTCAGATCTGCCATCTCCTCCATCGGCTGCACCAGGAGGGCATTCGCAGCGAGGAGCTCACCTCCCTCTACCAGGCGGTCTACCTGCCGCTGGGCGTCCCCGTCCAGGTGTTCAAGGAGATAGCGAGAGCGTTTGAGAACAAGGTGGTGGAGCTGAAGGCCGGAGAGACGTACGCTGTGGAGGGCAAGACGCCCATCGACCAGCTCTCGTTCCTGCTGTCTGGGAGGTGTGTTCGTGTGCATGATGTAAACCACCACCACTGTTTCCAGAGAACACAACCAACACACGCTAACCAGTGAAAACACATCTCACATTCAGGATCACCTTTGATTTAAAAATGGCTTTAGCTTATCAACACATTCATGGAGCAACATTAGCATTCATTTAATTTTGTGTTCACGTCCACTCTTTGAATGTAAGTGCAATACCTACTTTCTTTTAGCTCCGTTTTTAGTCTCTGCCATCTGCTGAGGGAAATATCTGGATCTTTAGCTGAGTTACATGAGGGGAAAGCTGGTGTTACATAGTTAACACAATATTACACTTTAAATACATTGGAATTCAATATATTACATTTAAGATATGATCATATGTTTTCTATGTAACCCACAAAGCATCTAAATATGCTGTCAGATAAATGGAGTTTAGTCACTTATACCAATGTTCCCTCTGAAATGTTGTGTTATATGTTTAAGTTTAAAGTGTTTAAGTTTAAATTAACGAAACTATATTACGTCTCACCCATTTCTACTACAGGCATAGTGTAGAATTTATTGTTTTAAAGCTAAACATAGCACCGATTGTTGTTGTTTTGTTTTTCCGGATGAAATCTATTTCAACCGGCTACTCCAGAGTTGGATTTCTATTTTTGCCTCGACTGTTGGCAGCGTGCAGCCGTTACAGGAAATGTATCCTCTTCATCCAAACATCCTCAAAGTAGAGCTGCGTTGGATCTCACAGTCCTGGAGCCTACACAAGAGAAATGTTAAACAGAGTATTTTTGTCTGTGACTCACCGGTGTGTCGTCCCCCTGCAGAGTGCCAGCTGGTTAAATGATAGCTTTGTACTTAGGACATGGAGGGAGAGTGGACGCTGTCTGCTCCGGCAGTGAGACGCGTTTTAAACAACAAAGAAACAAAGAGCTGATTTTGTCTGCATATCTTAAATAGTTGTGTATTAACAGTCATACTTTTAGATTTAAAGGTTTGCGTTGTTGATATTTAACCAGCTCAAGTTTTAATGTGTCATCCTCATCAAAAGTCTCCTGTTCACATGGCCAAAAATATGTGGACACACAGACGTGCTCGTTGGAACATTTCATTCCACGACCGTGGGTGTTAATGTTCTACAACTCTGACTGCTTCCAATGGGGTTGAGGTCAGGGCTCTGCATGTGCACGCCAGTCAAGTTCTTCTGCACCAAACTCAGAAAACCATTTCTTCTCAGGCCTCGGCCCAAACTGATCAACTTTGCAAGAAATAGTTTAAAGCTCTTCGGCCCCTCACCTAAATGCTCCAGACATTTTTCTGTTATTGTGAATGCGTGTGACCCAGACAATCTCCTGCTGTGTGGTTCATATGTGGAAAAACTCAAATTTTCTGCACAGTTTATGTACGAAAATGGCTTTAGACTCACCCTACATCTGCCATATTGTACTATATATCTTGTTCATGAAAGAAAAACCTTATGGTTGTGTGCCTGGCTCTGTTTCTGTGCCACAGTTATCAAAGATACCTGACAAGCCTCTGGAACTCTCTTAGGGTTAAACAGATTTGTTTCACTGTCACTTTAATGCAGCTCAGAGCATTAGACAGAAAAAGCTGTGTTCACCCATTCACACAGAATATTTCTGTCACACACGTTCACACACAGCCGACACATGTGTTGTTCAGCATCTTGCGGAAGGACACTACTGTACAACATGTGCGCTGTATGAGCCGGGGATTGAGCCACCGACAAAACACACAGTTGCCCCCGGAGGTCCTGGTGTTACAGGGACATTTTTAGCGTGGGACTCCCCAGAGGAGATCCCAGTCCCCGACTGTGTAGATTCCTCATAGGGTAATTAGACCACAATGCACTGCAGCAACATAGCTGTTAATTGGTGGGACTGCTGTACAGGCAATCCAATTATATGTTCTGAGTCCAAAAGTTTTCTCTTAATTAACACTGTTGTGTAGAGTGTAAAAAAAGATTTCTGCTATGTTTTGTCTGCCCTAATTCCGCAAGCTCAAATGAACAGACACTGAAATAAAAACTTTAATTTTGCCAAAACAGAATACCAGTAATACTTAGGGTTGTAATTATAAGTTCTCTGTCAGTTTACAGTAACTCGCAGTTTATTTTTTACTTCAATTGCATTTTTGGATTCCCTGTGGACGTACCAGCTGCTGTAACAAAGACTTAAGAAATCCTGGTCCAAGTCGGGACGAGAATATTTACTTTGAAAGAATAATTTCCTGGGGGAGACGTCCATCTCTTTGTGCAGATGTCAGGTGATTGATATGAAGCAGATCATCTGCAGTGCTGATATGACACCAAAGTGAGGATAAAACAAACTTTGACGGACACTTTTGACGTAATCCAATGAAGTCCTGATGTTGCGTGTGCTGGATTATCTCACTCTGCGGAAACTATGTCCTTATTAAATCAAACTTCCCTGAGGAGGAGGAATGTCTCAATGTCCCTGAATTATGATTTCTGTGTGCGAAGAGACAGAAGAGAATATTTGGTATCAGTTTATCTGAAAATGCTGAACAATCCCTTTTTGCCTTTTTAACACCACGTCTCTCTTCCTCTCTGTCTCTCAGGATCAATGTTTCGTTGGAGGGCCAGTTCCTACATTACATCCACCGCCACCAGTTCCTCGACTCTCCAGAGTGGGAGTCTATCAGACCAAACGAGGAGGGAAAGTTCCAGGTACTGCAGAGGCCTCAACACGCCGAGATGTTGAAGTTGTTTACATGTTTTATCTAAAGTAAATTCAATAAGCGGACGTGTCCGGGCCTGAGCGAGGCACTAAAATGATAAATGAACTGTCGCTATCACTGAAGGAGCTGAAAGGAGACACCAGACATCAAGTCGTCTTTTGTTGCCTCATATCGGACTCAGCATCTGACTGATACAGTGAACAGGAGAAAGCACTTGACCTCTTGTCTTTCACGCATCCTGTTGATTTAGATGAGTACAGTTGAAGAAGAAACCTGACATGACCTCAGACACACATTTTATGTTACACAAACATTTCTGAAACTTGCATAATGTCTTCTTCGACTTGTCATCTCAAATATTTAAAGTCATGTTTGTGTCCATGTTTACTAGCTAGCCTGCAGTTTTATTCCGGTCCATCTTTTTTGGTGCAGTGCCATGTTATCCTGCACTTTACGGCCACCGATTTTTCTCTGTAACAAAGCTCCAGGTATTTTCAAATTAAAAAAAAACACTCATTCTACTCCCCAGGTGACCCTGACAGCCGAGGAGGACTCCCGCTTCATCTCATGGCGCCGCCGCCACCTCTACATGCTGATCTCAAAGGAACGCTACATCGCCCGCCTCTTCTCCGTCATGCTGGGCTATGACATCGCAGAAAAGCTCTACAACCTCAACAGCAAGCTCTACATCAAGAGCGGCGTGCTGCTGGACATCCGCCTGCCCAGTCTCTACCACGTGCTGGCCCCCTCATCGCAGGGCAGCGAGGGCGGCAGCTGCAGCGATGGCGGCGTCACCAAGGAGCAACAAGTTGAGCAGCAGGTAGAAGACCAAGTGCCGGCCTACGAGAAGACCGACCCAGCCCAGTGTCAGCCCCTCCAGCCGTACCTGCAGGGACCAAGGAAGCCCTACCTGGACGAACCCCGGCCCTCCCAGCCCGACCGGTATCAGCACCCCTGGGCGTCTGACCCGGAGCTGCTCTCTGGTGAGGACTCCACCAGCCTGGTCCTGGAGGACTTTGCTGATGTGGCGGGCTCCTTAATGGATTATGGCAGTGAGAGGGATTATTTGAGGTAGAGGGGCAGGGTGCTGGAGCTAACACACTGGGTCACCACTTAAGCTACATGTAAGTACCTCACCTGGGCGGAGAGTGGTGTTGGGGGGGGGCGTGTGTGTGCATGGCTTGGAGTGCACAGTTCTTACTAACCCTGGCTTTGTTGTGACACGTAGGGCTGGGCAGTAATCCTACAATATTTCATCATTAATTTTCAATATGGATTTAGTGCTGTTGCAGCTACAATCGTGTTTTCATTGAAATTAGTATTATTACTTGCATCAAGATATAAAATACTAATATATATATAATATAATACATATATAATACATCAACCAACTAAAACATCAAAATGCTACACGTCAATGGACCAGTATCAATTAAAATATCTGTATTTCGCACATTATGCTATGTTTTGTGTACAATAATATTTATTTACTGTGAAGTAACCTTCCTGGATGAAATGAAAACACAATGACATGTTTTAAAGTTGTAAAAAGTAAATAATCTCAACGCAAGGTCAATTAGTAACTTGTTCTTAAACTTTTAAATATATCACATGATCTTCATCAGCAGATTTACTACAGACATAACATGAAATGAATCTAGAATGATAAGGAATTGTTTATTCTGAGTCTTAAGAGAAAAAAACTAAACATTAACCAATTAATTATTTTGCTGTAGTTTTGCTCTACGAGCTGCAGGTCGCGGTTGGTGCAGTAGCAGAGTTAAAAGTGTCCTCTCAGATAAAAGCGATCTGCTCAGTTGAAACAGTTTGACAGGAAATCAGTGCAGAGCGGCTTCATGTTGCTTTCCGACAGCCGACTGAAGGGGGGGGGGGCAGCTGTGTCCTCATCTGACGAGGATTTAGAGCCTGGAAATTCAGGGGGTGTCCAAAAAGTTCAGTGCGGCTCTTTTAATCCAGTGTGCTAACCACTTGGCTATCTGTCAGCTTATGTGTTCACCACCCCGCCTCAACCCCACCTGCCTGTCTACCAGCCCTCCACCCTGTCACAGGTGGAGCATCACATTTCATAGCCAGGTAGTTGGTTTAATGTCCGGCTCGTGTTGCAGCGCGGCTGTGAGGCCGTAGATCAAATCCATCACAGAGCGAAGAAACACTACATCAGCTCAGACAGAGGAGGCCGATGACTCGGCTCATTCAGAGGGAGATATTCGAATGGTGTGAAATGTATTGTATGTAGCAGCTCTGTGGTTTGACATCAGACATTCGTCCTTCTGTGATTAAAGGTTCAGTGTGTAACATTTCTTCTAATAAAAATAGAATAATATAAAAGTTGTGTGTGTATGGACACCTCTGCAGCTGTCTCAATGATTTTATGTATATTGTCACATCATTCCTCATAATTATTTTATCTTATCTTCTTTTGCTTTGGATACTAATATCTTTGCGTTTTAAATCATGTAGAATTTGAAGGCATGACTTTTACATGCCGCAGAGCATCTTTACTAACGATTTGAATTTCTTCCAGGAGGTGATAGCGACGGGGATCTACCGCCTCGGTTTCAAAGAGGCCGAGCGCCGCTGGCTCCCACCGACACTCCCAAACTGTGAGAACAGTCTCTCCTGGAAACACAAATATTTGTTATTTACAGTTGAAAGAATGTTTCACATGTCACTTGTTCTGTCTCCTCCTCCTCGTTCACATCTTCAGTCCTGAGCACGGTCAACATGTGCTCCTCGTTCTCCCTGAGGCAAAAATGCAATATTGATATTTTGATAGTTATCACCTATTAACTTTATAATCAGTTTGCCTGAAAGTCTTTTTGTGGAGGCTTTGAAGCAGCGTTTAGGCCAAAATGTAAATGTCTAATTTTTAAAATGTACAATTTAAAACCTGCGGGAGTTGATTAAATGTTCTAAGAGATAGAAAGTTGGACATGAGGGGATTCTGTATCCAACATAATGAGAATAATCAAATGTTAACAAAGAGTCAAGTCTTCAGTTTGTCAATTACCAGCACGTTAAATGTCTGAAAAGTTATTTTAATGTTTTAAAATCTGATTTTATGTTGGTTTTCATCTCACTAATATTCGATGTTCGATCTGTGATTGTTTGATTTGGGCTCGAATTCACCTGATTTAAGGACTTTTGATGTTTGATTCACAAAAAATCACTTGTATTTACAAAATGAATTTAACTGCACAGGTTTAAGTTCAGAAATCAGTTTAGAAAAAGAAAATTGTTGGACCAACTTGAAAAATGACTTGAAGTGGTGACACAGAGATGAATCAAGTGTTCAAAAAACATATGTCACTCATTGAACTATTTTAAGTTGGGTAACAATTTCAACACATTTTCTAGATATTAAATTTAGATGCATTTGGTCATAAATCCACATGGATACATGTATATGATGTACAAGTGTATAAAGGAGGAAGATCTGCATCACAGTCAACTCATCATTCTCTTACGAAATGGAAAATATTATATTTCAGGATAAAACAAGACAGCGTTGATTTTCCCTGTTACTTTCATGTGCTGTTGACATGTTTATTTACCTGAATGCACCGTGACTCTTGGTTCACTAGCAGAAATGATGCTTTTTAACAGTTGATGTACGACCACCTCTCACTTCTTCTCCGGCGATATATTGGATACCTGCAGATGTTGTTTTGTATTTTATCTTTTGTAATTAATTGAGTATTTAATACACAGATTCACAATGTGAATTGTCTGTTGTAATCTTCCAAAATATTAGAGATGGGACTAAAATGACGTAGTGTTTGTAAAAGTTTTTCTCATGGGGCCAAGATTTCTCCATAAAGATGTTTGTGTGCAGTGACGGTGTATCTGGTTTTCTGTGATTTTAAATTTAGTTGATGTAATTAAACTCAAAATTCTTAATGTAATACTCATAAAACGTCACGACACAAGTATCGAGCACTCAAGCACTTTCTAGTCACATTGGAATGTAAACTGGAGGAGCTGGGCATCGAACCTTCGAGCCGCCCTGTATCGACTGCTGTGTTTGGTGTCACATTGCCGTCAGAGCCAACAGCTTGTTTGTATGTTTGTAGCTTTATGTAATGATAGCTATGCACTTCTCAAATCTTTGATTACAGTAAACTATCATGTAGATGTTTCCATTCACAGTTTACAGTAAACAACCACCACTTATTCTTCTGTTTATTGACAGAATCACTAAAGATACAACAGCAGGAAAAGAAAAAAAACACCTCAACAGAAAGGAATGGGCAAAGTTAAATAACCAGAAACAGAATCAGAAATAAACATTTCAGGCTCAGGCACCATGTGAATCAGTGGATGAGCCGAACAGTCGGACTAGTTTACATTTTGACACTGTGGTAGAGTAGATCCAGAACAGCGTGTGGTTTTTCAGAGTGGAGATTTAAATCTCATTTTCAAGATGGTGATCGTGACGTCATGTTGCCACCGATGTCTGACTTCAGCGTAGATCAACTGAGTTTCTTCCAGTTGAGAAGATTTCTCTCTTCCGTCAGTCACAAACCTGCACAAAGTCATGAGACCACGGAACTCCTCGTCTGACGTGGATGTTGTTCACGCACAACGGATCCTCTCGTCTGAAACACAGACATGTAATTTAATTGTTAAACTTCAAGACTAAAAAAGACATTAAATATGGGACGAAACAACCTGAGATTAAACAGTACAAGACCAAAGTGGTTCAGGTGGAGTCTCTAGTTTTCTTTTTTTCTGTACTTCTATAATTATTTTTAACATTTCAGTATTTTCTTATTGATCAAAGACAAATAGAGAAGATGACATGCAACATAGAACCTGGTGAGAATCCAATCAGGGATGTTGCGCGCATTTTATGTTATGTGCCCGACGTCTCAGTAGATGAGTTCGAGCCATAAGAAACACTTAAACATATATGTCTGGTCCTGTTTACCTGACAGAGGGGAACTGGGACAGACAGACGGACTTGAAGTGGATGTCTCCCTGCCGGTAGAGCCAAGTGCCGGTGTTCTTCAGCTGGATGGAGTGGATCTCACACAGAGCCACGGGATGAGCCATCACTGTGCGGTACGCAGTCGTAGACGTCTGACTGAAACACGTTTTCACACACACAGCATCTCCATGGGAATAAGGTCATAATGTAAAAACGCACACTTTCACATGAGCAATATTCATCAGCATATGACCAATATTATTGTCATTGGGGGCCCAGTGTCATATTCTTTCAACACTTCTAGCGGTGCCCCTGGTTATTGCCAATTAAAAATGAATGGAACAGACTGAAATTCAAACTTCTCCATAAGTGTTGTTGTGTTTGCTCGATTTTATTAAATCTAATATTGCAAAAACAAAAGTATCCTAGAAATAGATTTATTTACTCCCGCTGGTAAAGTTAATGAAAAGCAGGTGAAGAAAAAACGATTTCGTCGAACTGGAGTGAACCTGTGCACTTCTCCTCTCTCAGCGTTTCTGCCTCAGCATCTTGCACCTGGCTCTTTACAGTGGAACACACAGCACCTCGCGTCTGAAAATAGAAGCTGCACACTCACCTCTTCTGTAAAGAAATGTGATTACAGCACGAGCTGCGGGATGAGAAGCTTCTGTCAGAGCTGTCACACTGAAATTATTGCTGGGAGTTTAGAGTTTACGTAATATTGAAGATTATTTTGCTCCCTGAGCGAGTTTACTCGTCGGGTTTGTGGGTGTTTGTGTTGATTTCCATGACGTCAACTTAAAGCCGCCATCTTTAATTAAGTAACTCAGTAAACAAAGGAACATCACAGGCTTCTTGTATTTTTTCCTCCTCGTCCTTCATCCTCATTAATTTATATTTGTTTAAAATTCAGGAAACAGGATCTCAGCTCGTCCTTTCTTCTTATAAACAGCATGTACGACATCAGAGGGTCAAACATGCAGACGTTTTTTGTGAGAGCATCATTTCTCTGTAACTAACAATTATTTTCATTATTAATCATTTCCTCTACGGAGCTTTGTTTGGTTTGGCACTTTTGATTTAAAAATTACTTAAGATTATTATTCCTGTTTCATTAAGTGATTAATTATTATAATCATTAGTTCCAGATGTAACATTTTGATTTCAAACAGAAAATATATTTTAAATCTGTAATTTGTCAGAGGTTTCAGATCTTACTATTATTTCAAGTTTTTATTTTGTCCTGCAGAACTTAATTCAAAGTTGAATGAAGACAGTCTGCAGAGGTAGTGGTACGTACAGCCTGAACCTCTGCTCTGTTCTCTGGCTCCCGGTCCTCAGAGTCACTTCCACCTCAGCGCTTTTATCCAGCGGAGAAACTTCCAGCTCCAGCAGCATGTGATGAGCTGAGCAGAAGCAACAACACACATTCTTTACCTTCTGACGCTCCAGCCGTCTAAATGACAACAAACATAAAAACTCTTGGATGTTGGTGTACGGCCAATTTTGCCTGCGGGCCTCAAAGTCCCTGGCTTAAAGCTAGCCACCCAGTTTTCAGAGAAATAAATCTATTATCTCTCACACACACACTCACTGCAGAAAGGTGGTGACGAGGTCGTGAGAAGGAATAGCTTCTGCTCTTTGGGGATTGGAGATATGGCTATCCCATTGTTGTCTGATAAACCTGAAACACACACACACACACACACAAATGAGTGAATGAGGGTCACACTTGTACGTCACAAATAAGAAAGGGCTCTGTGTACGTTAACCGTGTCACAGTATCAGTGTGTGTTGGCGTATCAGGGCCTGAGATGATGATAAGCTGCCAGGAGCTGCTGTGTGAGTGCAGCCTGATGTTCCATTGACCGGTGACACTGTGACTGAAACACGATACACAGTTTTGACCTCTATTCTTTTATGGGCTGGTGTTTTGCCATCCTATCTGTTTCTCCACATTCTGGAGGAAACATCTATTACCTCCACTGCACATGTCGAGTTTCATCTCTGGATGTAAAGGAGGAGACAGTTACAAATCATATGGAGTCAATGTCAGTCTGTTAAAATAGAAATAAGTGAACTTATATCACAGTGGCCTCAGTAATTAACAATACAGAACATGTAGAATCAAAAATAATGCTGACACTATCACAGGGCAGCTACTGTCTCTGCTGCTGTAAGTAAAATTTAATTGAATTATTAAGATGTTTATTGATTTTGTTTTATTTTAGTGACCAATAAAATAGATTTGACTGTTTAAATGCAGTCAAGATGATCACACTCATTTATCTCCGTAGTCGTACTTTTGTGTTGTTTGATTTTCAACTTTCATGCAAGTTCATTTTATATTTTTAAAGTATGTATCATATTTAATTTGTAAAAAAAATACCATAAAATCCAATCAAATAGCAAACATTACTTGATATACGTTATTGGTTGGTGCATTATTACCTATAGTTGGACACGTCCCCTTGAAGACATCACAGTCCACACACTGTCCCCTCTGGAAGTCCTCATAGTTGAAGCACGGGATCCCCCTCATCGGGCAGGAGCCATTCAATGCACTCATGTAGACGTGCAGCGCCCTCATATGGTCACATATCACATAACCGTACACTGGAGAGTAGATAAGAACTGACAGCACACACAGAAACTAAGGGAGCCACATGTTCCCGGAATTTTGGATATTAAAAAAAAAAAAAGATTCTGTGTTATAATTGACATTTTAATAATAACATATTAATTTAAAGTGGCCTGAGGAAGCACAGCTGCTGCTGCTCTCAATTAGTCCCAACTTATTTTTACAGTAGTTCACAGTTAGTGTTTAACGTACTTGAGGCGAACCTGGAGCGGGCACATCCCGCCTGATCCTTCCCTCCGTTCAGGAAGAAGTCCACGTGACCCACAGGGATGGAGATGCCAAAATCTGATGCAGGAGAAAACCTCATCATTTTCATTTTAAGGCTCCATCAGCTTGGAAAGAAAGTTAAAGATAAAGTTGTCCGCTCACAGTCAGAGTCCGTGTGGATGGCATCAACAAACTGAGCGTCAGACGGGTCCAGCCGATCAGAGATGTCTGCTCCTTTAAACATGGGTCCAGCAGGATCCAGGCCTGGAAGACAAGGACGGAAAACCTGGTGTTGGCGGTTCAGAATCTCTTGTGAAGACTTTGAATTTCAAATGCAACTCTCTGGTACAGAGAGACGACCCCAAACTCCTACAGGGAACTATTTGAGCCCAAGAAATATTTTGTCTCCTCAGAATGTCCATTGCTGCAGCTCCTCTTTTCAGCCTCTGTCTCAAACACATGATTATAGCCTCTGTCTCTTTAAGACCCCCCCTCCTGATAAAACCCAGTCTGCTCTGATTGGCCAGCTGGACCACTCTGTTGTGATTGGTCAGCCGCTTCCAGCGACTGTAGGACATATCCGCCTCTGCGGTCACTTTACGTGGTTTTGTTATATAAATATACAAATATGGATGTATTTTAGGTACAAGTACATATTTCTTGCAACCACGTATTTGATCTGTAAACGTTACAGAATTCCAGTTGCAGTCCACATCTGTGGCTCCTCTGAGCTGCACATTTAAACTCACACACTCAGACAGAAACAGCCGAAGTGTCCTCGTCCCCTGAAGAGCGCCACTAATCTTCCGACGTCACGCTGCTGCAGACGAGAGGCTCGGTCACCTCTGTTGTTAATACTTTGACTCTAGACGATGCAGCAGAGTCACAACAGCCGACAGCTTTTATTTTCCTATTCACCAGCAGCATAGTGGGATTAAAGAGAAGCAGGAGCCATCTCTGATCCACACTCACCTGTGATTCTTCCGATCTTCCCCTCGAACAGAGTCCCCACAAAACCAGCGACGTGCGCCCCGAGACTGATCCCGATGAAGTGGATGGACTCCAGCGTGCATCCGTGCTCCTGTTGGACCAGACAAGAGTCCATTAAAATAGCATTAAACTATTAAAGAATGATACCTGAAAACTTTCCAGACAACAGAAAAAATGTTGAAATAAAATCCCCCAAATACATTTGGGTCCTGGCAGGTTTAAATTTTGAGCCCCTGAATTCTCACATTCAAACTGTTGTTGACATTAAATTTCAGTATTATTATTTTGAGGTAAAGCAGAATTAAAAATACGTCATGACAAAAACAAAGATGAAGTCTGAATATCAGCTCTGTGACGTTTGTCTCACCTGCAGCTGGTTGATGAGGACGGAGATCTGCACCGCCACCTCCTTGTAGTTCTCCACCACCAGGTTGTAGGCGAAGGAGGCGCCGTAGACCCAGTCCACCATCAGCACGTTGGCGTCCTGTGCCCTGAGCAGGGCCTGGGCCAGCTCCTTCACCCAGGACGGCTTACTGCCCATGGCTCTGTGAGGGCGGGGGGGTCGGATCATGGATGGTGGGTTCATGATGAGTTTGGAAAACAAGAATAAAACCAAACCAGATGAGGTACTCTTCAGATGTAAATGATCTGAGCTTGTAGGATGCCTCAGTGTTTCTGTAGGAGCTGAACGAGATCGTGAAACAGACCACTGGATGGTTCCTGTTAGTTTTGCTGTCTTGTTCTGTTTTTTGGATTTCATGAGATTCACTTGCTGCGATTACTATGTTTGGCTGAAAATCCCTTGAAAACTAACATTTTACATAAATAAATATTTGACACTCAAATGATAGTTAATGATTTAAATCCTGCACATGTCAAACAATTTGTCTGTGAAACTTTCTTGTGTTTGTGAAAACACAAGAACAAGGGTCATTTGACTCATGTGAATACTTGATTGTGCAATAAAGGTTTGATTCAACAAATCTGAAGCTATGCTTGACAGGTCCCTCACACTGTTGGTGAAGTTCCAATTTGGCCTACGGTGGTTTTAGACCTTGTCTGATGTGGTTCAGGTGTTTTCAGGGCCTTTGGGACTCCTCCTCTCACCTGTATCCGTGGACGATGACCTTGGTGGGACGGGAGGCGTTGAAATAGGACGGCTGCCCGGTGAGAGACTCCTGGTCGAACATTTGTGCACAGTCCATGTTTGTCCTGGTCAGCAGCAGGTACTGGACCTGCAGTTTGTCCCTCTGCTGCCGGTACCTGTTCCACGTCGTGTTATTGAGGTCGGCACACTCATCGTCTCCCTGCGTCTCCTCCAAACCTGGTTGATCAGAAGGAAGCGTTTCCCCACGACCGGGTCTGAATGTGGAGCATCTGCATCATTAAATCATTTCTCACATGATGGAAGCAATAAATAGCCTAAAAGCTTGTGTTGTGTATTTGACACAATGATGTTACTTATAAAGTGCATCACAATTTTTGTATCTTCGGAAAAATATTTGTCGTTGCAGTTGATGTATTTAGTTACTTTACACTCGTGAGCTATGACGACTTAGTGTTTCTGAGTTATTAGCATTATTCAGAGTTGTTAGCAGTTCTACCAAAGACTCATTTCTTTATCTTTTTACATCCCTCGATCGTCACGGTGCAGACTCTGGTTCAAACTGAAGTCAAAAGTGAAACGTGGCAGTTCCCAAATCTGGGATATTTGAGCTCCATTCATGTAAAACAGGAGGAGACGCGTTGTCCATCTTTATTTACAGTCTATAATATAAAGCAGTGTCAACCACATTCCAAAAAGAAGTGATGCAGAAGAAAATGTGTCCTGCATGAGTGGAGCACTTACCCACCACCAGTGATGTGATGTAGACCGACCACACACAGAGGAGGACCACTTTGTTTTCCCACTTCATGTCTGTAGCAACAGGACGGTGAATGGGAAAGAGACGAACCTGCCTGGAGCTTTAGTTGGTGCCTAATGCTGCTGTTCTCCTCAGCCCAGGATTGGAAGCTGGAGAAAATCCAGTGCAGTGCTGAACTCTGGAACGACAACACAGCCTCTAAATTGCAAATAGCAGACATGAAGCAAGGCAGGAATCCATAATCCAAAGAATCCAAAAATACAAATGTTTTTATGACCCTCGTGGCGTCCCCGCTTCTTTGAGCCTGAACCCACCAAAACAAACCTTCCTCTGTGTTTTCACTCAGTCATCACATTTGTCAGAGAATTTCTTTTTTCTCAGACCGGGTTTGTTCAAGCCGACAAGTGTTTGAAGCTCTTTGCCGGGTGGTGAATACATGAATGACCTCACTGGTGTTCAATGGCTGTTTGTTTGAAAAGCTGGACTCTGGCCTGAACTGTGTGTGTGTGTGTGTGTGTGTGTGTGTGTGTGTGTGTGTGTGTGTGTGTGTGTGAGAGGAGAGGTCATCCTGCTACGTCTGAATTAAATCAATCATCAGCTGATTGATTGTTCCACCATCAATGCTGGTTTATGTAATACTCTATTCATTCCACCGCTTTAAGCATTTAAATCATTTCACCTCTATTTCCTTATTTAATTATACGTATGTATATTCACTCCAGATACAAGTACAACTAGTTGTTTGGAGCAGTCACACAAAAAAGTAATCCTTCCCCAGGAAAATAGGTCAAGGATGTTTGCTACAGTTGGCAGTGATTTGTTTGGCTCAGTGTTAATCATGATTTAAAGCTTAGTTATGTTTAAAACCTCAGTAGAAAAAAAATGAAACATTCTGATCCACAAATCTCTTTGCTTAAAACCTCAAAGAACAATTGAATTCTTTCTTTGGATGCAAAAAGTTCACAAGTGATGCATTTTGTTTTTTATGTTATTTTATTTGTCTGAGAGAAGAGAAGGACATGAAGGGAACAGGGCGTTAAAATCTAAAATATACAGAGGCAGAAAAGTAAAGTTGTGTTGTCGTCATTACAGGACATTTTCTTTGAGTGATGCTGTGACATGTTTGCATCTCAGCTCATTAGTTTGATGATGATCAGCTTAATCATCAGAAAATTCAAAAGCATGAATCTCAAAGGCCATTTTCTATGTCACGGGATTACAGCTCATTTGAAAGCCGGATCATTTTTTATGTGTAATTACTACAAGTTAATAATCATCATAAAACAGAGATAAAGGAAATAAAACAAATCAGAAACACCAAAACAATGTGGAAAAAATGAAATCTCTCCCTGAGGGCAGAAACATTGGTGTAAAGATGAATATTTTTCTGAAAGATCAAATCTTTGGAGAGTGAATATTTTTTCCCACGTTACCAAAAATGTAAATTAAAGCAACAGCATGTAACAGCGCCCTCTGCAGACACATATGGTGATTAATTCAGTAAGTTCTATTTTGTAAAATAAATATAAATCTTCAACAACAAGTTAGCTGTTATATATAACTACAAATGTGAGGGAGAGATAGTTAATTTGGTGAAAACAACTTTTAATCATTTAGCTGTAATTCGTTCCCTCTCTTTAGGCAGTTCTGTGGCTAACCATTCAATGGTGCGTTTGCGTGCTTCCTCCCAGCTGTACATGGGTTCATATCCCAGATCCCTCTTGGCTTTCTGATAGGAGAAGGTGAACGGGGTGTTCAACATGGTGATGAGCTGCCGGTTCAGCGGCAAGACGACTCGTATGAGAGGTCGGATCATCATGCACAGGATTTCCAAAATGAAACAGAGCGCATAGAGGAGGTGGAGCGGCAGCCGGAGTTTCTCTTGAATGTTGAAGCCCAGAGGCGCCATCAGGGCGTGGTTGAAGTCTGAGTAGCTCACCGGCGGCGTGTCGTCAGAAATAAAGAAAAACTTTCCTCCTATCACATTTCTCTTTTGTGGATCTTTGAGGCCGCGAGCTGCTTGAAGATGAGCCGAGGCTACGTTTCCCACGTAGACAGGATTCACTCGAGCCTCTGGCAAAGACATCCTCAACAGAACATCTCTGTTTCGTATCCCGTCATCCATGTGGCCCAGCAGGAAGCGGCACCCCTCTCCGAAGATGTACATCGGTCTGAGGGCACAGGTGGCCAGTCGGCCTCCGTTCTGGAGCACCTCTCCGTGGGCCAGCAGGGTTCTCTGCTCGGCCTCCTTTTTGGTCTTGCTGTAGGAAAACCTCAAGGTACTGTCATAAATTGTGTCCTCGGTGCCGTTGATGATGGGTTCACCTTTGGGGTTTGGCCCCATCACCTCGATGGAGCTGGTGTAGATTAAGGACACCACGTTCTCCTGAATACAGGCCTCCAGAATAACCTGCGTGCCTGCAAAGCAAAGACGCTCTTTAGTTGGTTTGAAGAAAATATTTCCTTCTCTAGATATTTTCTAAATAAACCAGTTTCAAGTCCCCTCTCTCTGTAAGTCACAGTTACATGAGTGTTAGTTGTGGATTGAAGTGTCCGCCTCACCCTTGACATTGACGCTGTACATTTCACTGTGCTCCACCGATCCAGTGACGTTGATGATGGAGGCCGTGTGGAAGACGACGGACGCACCTCGACAGGCTTTCCTCACAAAATCACTGTCCCTGATGTCTCCCTCGAACACGCTCAGCTGTGTGCTGCCTCTGCAATCTTACCCAGTACATCAAGTACAAAATGTCACAACACAATAAAAGTACTTATACATACATGTATGTTTTATGATAGGAAGGGAAGATTTTACCCTCCAGAGTTTGTAAAACTTGAGGTTGAACGTGTTTGTCCAGCATCCGGATCTCAGCCATCGTCTCTTCCTCCAGCAGCAGCTTCACCAGCCTCTGTCCCAGGAATCCACAGGCTCCTGTCACCACACACACATCACCTCCCAGAGACATGGCCGGGGTTAAAGACAAACAAAGAGATCCTCCTCTTCCAAAGCTCTTCTCTCGGAGATCTACTCAAGAGCCTTGTCAGAAAAATTAAAAAGACTGGGAATGTGAACTCCGCTGAATGTAGGATGGACCTTTTATAAGCCAAGGACAGTTGCTGCTGGAAGATACAAGATAAATACTTTTTTTATGTTGATGCTGCTGTGATTCGGGGGGGGNAGACTCAGAAAAACAAGGCCAGAGACGAGGGTTACGCACTGAAATGAAAGATATTTAGACTTTAAATCTTTAAATCTAGAAATAATCCATTACAGGTAAAAGTCATGTGTTCAAGATTTTACTTAAATCCAAGTATAGTAGTGAAAATCCCGTTCTGTTGTACATAGACTGTGTGAACAGAACGTGTTTGTAGCTTTTTAACACTTTGTATATTTTAAATCTTTGCCTCACAGCAGACAAAACAAGATACCGGCTTCAAAATCTAACTCTACAAGGTCACACCCTTGTTGCTGAGTGTCAGAGTTTTACAGTGTAACACTTTAAAAGGGAAGATGGGTCGTGTTTTAAATACTTTGCACTTAAGAGGAAACCATCATGCCAGATCAGCTAAATAAAACAAGATTTGAAGTTTCAAGGTGACGTGTGTCTGCCAGATGGACGGATTCTATTTTCCTAACAAGGAGAGTGGATTAAAAATATCTATGAGCATCTTTTCTCCAAAAATATAACTGATTTAGTGATTTTTTAATTTGGTTTTGCAACACACACTTATGTAAAGTAAAAGTTTACTTTGGATATCACAGCAGTCTGTTGTTTGATCTGGAGGAGAATTCTCAAGGACAGCTTCATTATCATTCATTTACATCACACACGAAGAGACATGGTGTGTGTGTGTGTGTGTGTGTGTGTGTTTGTTTGTTGTACCCTGTAATCAGGATGGATCTACAATTCACACCTTGATGCAGAGGACCCCAACGACCTCAACCACCATCCCTCGGGGATAAGAGGTGAAACTTGCACAACTTCTAAAGATACTATGACCTGGATGACTGAAAGTGAACAATGTGAGTCTCAAGTGCAAAATAAAGAGGGAAACAACCTTTTTTTATTTTCATTTCAAAACACTGCATATCAGCATAAATATACAAAAAATGAAAGTGAGTGAGTGAGCTTTTGTTTTGACAACAAACTGCTTGTACTTAAATGTAAGTAGGGAACAATTCTGTAATTAAGAGGAAATGAGCTCATCTTTTGTTTTGTATTTTCTCCTACACACTGAATGATAAGCTGCGTGGCCTGCAAAATAATATTTTTGATTCCACAGTAAGAACAAGGTTGACTGGTTTGTGAGCTGAGGCCTTGTGTTTGACCTTGTGTCCAGCGCCATCTTGGTTTTTTTTAAACCAGAGGTAACCATATTTGGAGATTAAATCAAGGCTGTAATGGTAGAATAGAGTAGATTGGTATTCATGCTCTTTGGGATGATGTTTCATGTCCAGACAACCTCTGTATAGTCTTATTTAGCCTTTTAGCCTTTGTTTTAAGTCATACAATCTTAAAACTCACAGGCAGGGTATTTACTGATGTTTATTTTGTGGAATAAAACAGGAAATGTCTTGTGATTGACACAGAACTTATATATTAAAAGTCTCTAAAACCCCATTTAAAAACACTTCAACTTCAGGATTGAGGAACTGAGAAGTGCAAAGATGCAAACTCATTTCTGGGTATCAGTTTATTCAGTATCCTTTACGTGGTTTGTTTCGTCTCTTATAGTGCGTCTGACTTTGACCTTCAAAACAAAGATACTCCATGGGTTTGCCCTCTCTTTCAGGATGCATCGACTGTTTCCTTTTAATTAGCATATCTGCAGAGAGAAGGAACAACAAGTAGCTGTGTTGGAGTGACGCTGCAGGTCTGACAAGGACAGGAAATGAAACTAAAGATGGTGTTTGAAGAAAGATGCAGAGCTTTTTAACTGTACAATGCTGTATAGCCATGCTTGTAGCTGCAGCTTGTGTTTGCAAACACAACTTTTTTGCACTTTTCATCGATGGTGGTCAGAGTAGAAGAAGGAACCCCTCCTCTTTGTGGCGTGTGCTCAGTTCTTCACTGCAGGTAGCGGGCACTCCTGTATCTGAGCCTCATCCACTGACCCCTCCGGGAGATGAACCGTCATCGTACAGGCCCGAATCCCCCCCAGAGGCTCCAGCACGTTGAACACACGGTCCCATGCGTCCTGCTCTGGATCGTATCGCTGCACGATCTCCACCATGCACCTGCTGTTCCAGGAATACCCTCCCACCACATAGATCTGCCCGTTAAACACAGTCACTCCGACGTCGCTCTGGCCCCGAGGCATGGGCGCCACCACCGACCACTGGTCCGTCTCGGGGCTGTAGTACTCGCAGCCCAGGACGTCGTCGTAGTCGCTGCTGCCTCGGAAGTGATTCCCGCCCATGACATAGAGTCTGTCTCCCACGGTGCACATGCAGTGCAATCCGCGGAGCTCCCTCATGTCTGCACGCCTGCTCCACGTGTCGGCTGCAGCATCATAGCACCAAAGCTCCTTCTGGAACGTGTCACGGGTGATTCCACCTGAGGGACAGAACAGAAGCCAACAAAAATTACATCATATACCTACATGTGCAGTAGAATGTGAAAAAAATTCAATTCTAAATTACATTCCCTGTAGTTTTTAACAATTGTTGTTAGTATTTGAGTTTTTATTTTGCTACAGAGCATCAGTTGCAATTCAGAAAAGGTTTGGACTGAAACGATACAGTGCATGATATTAATACAGGATGTTGTGACTACGTAAAGTGTGAGTTATATTCCAGTAAATAATAAAAAAACCTTTCCAACACTGTGCAGCAGTATCAATTCGTGGGGTTTAACTTTGTTGAAAAACCCTCAACCACAGGACCCTCCTACGTGTGAAACGTATATTTCTGCTCTGAACACAAGAGGCCGATTTCCTGTCCAGCGTTGCTAAGAAACCTGCCTTAGATCAGACGACGAGCAGCCGCTAAACAGGAAGTGGTAACATACTGTATAAGGTCGGCCATGCAAGTGCTGTGTGTAGTTCATCTTGTTCAAGTGTACATCACAGTGCATTTAGCATTAGGAGTCTTGTTGTACTTCTGACAGGGGATGACATTTGATGACTGAGTCATTTCTTGAATATTTTTTAACAGTTTCTTTACAACTGCCCCGTTTCAAAGCAACTGCACGACTTTGTTCCACACCTGAAAAAAAGAGGAAGTGTGGTTGGATGGTTTTAGAATGTTAAGCCTGGGGTTTGAATTTGTTTTTCTCTTTAACTCTGAGCATGACCATGATCTTTCCCCAACCGTAGTTTTTGTTTCCTAAACTTTGACGGACAGAGCTTCTGGAACAGAAAACATCATTTGATGTTAAACAGTAACGGGTGAAGTTTAGGAATATAACAATGTTCCTGAGCAACTCTAGTTTTGTCTGAAGAAACAACCTTTTTTAATCTTTATTTATATTTGATGGTTTAACCTCATCCCTTCTTATTTTATCCCCTAGCTTTTCACGTTCCAAAAATAAACCTTTTATAAAACCATTACTCACAAGCTTCACTTGACAACTTTATTTAATGTTAATAATTCATTTCAATGATGGGTAATAATGGGCTACAGAGAATAATCTATTATGTTAAAAGTGTTAATAAATGGATTTTGATCATGATGTCGTGCAATACCACACATATTCCTATCTCTGCAAATGACTACAGTAAAAAGTGATTTACCTTTACAAGGGAGTACAAACATTATTAACGTCTTTTAACTGATAGAGAACGTTTGCGTAAGTAAACAGTAGTAGAGCCAATGATTTCAGATTATCAATGCATCATGAATTGTGGTTTATTGGAAAGTGACCCCCAGATTTATTCCAAGAGATTCAAAGCGATAGAGTTTGAGATTATAGAAATTAGAGATCCACTTTTAATTTGTGTGAAATGAGTGTGTTTCACAGTGTGTTGTTTTTACCTGAGATGTACATGAGGTTGCCGTGAACCGTTCCAGCATGACCGTAGTGAGGCTCCACCATACTGGTCACAAATGTCCACTCGTTCTTCCTCAGGTTGTAGCACTCCACCGTGTCTGAGCACAGAGACCGAGACACAACTGGGTCAAAACTTAATTCAAACATGCATTTTCGTATAAAAAGTTCGTATTCACATTATCATAGCACAATAGTTGAAATTTAGTTACAGTGATGATTTTCTCCAGAGAATTATCTTCTTTTCAGTAATTCAAACTGCAATTCCTAAAGCATTTCAAGCAGCTCACCGATCTCTCCTGACGCGTTTCTTCCTCCAACTGCGAACAGTTTCCCCTTCAGTGCGCTGAGGTGGAAGAACGTCCTCTTCTCGTTGAGTGAAGCAATCTGAAGCCACCTGTCGAAGCGCGGGTCGTAGCGGTACGCACTGTCGATCGCCGTCTTACCCTTTGTGTCGTACGTGCTCTGGCCTGTGGGGAATATATTTTGGTGTTGGAACACAAATACCTGAAGCAGCTACCTTAATGTGTTGTGATGATGAGTATTGTCCTGAAAGTATCCAGGGTTCACAGCACAGTGTACAGTTGTTGTACTGACCTCCAACAATGAAGAGGAAGCCGCCCAGAAGAGCGACACCGTGCTGGTAGCGTGGAGCCTCCATGGGTTTCAGGGCCCTCCACTGGTCGCTGTTCTCGTCATACAGCCTCAGCTCGCGGCTCACCACCAGCTGCTGCCTCATCACGCCGCCCAGTGCAAGAATATGCGTAGAGTTTGAGCGTATTTGTGTCCGCTCAGTTTGCAGGGCCGGCTGCATGAAGGGCATCATCTGGTAGTTGCTGGCCTCCAGCAGGAGGTTCACACAGGCCGTGTCAGAGCGCATCATGGAGTCGCCTCCTTCCTCATCGTCCTGTGAGATCTGGATCAGCTCACTCGGGCTCATCAGTGGGAAGCGAATATGACGCATTAAAGCAAAGACGGACAAGCGACGTTTGGGAGGTTCGTGGTCCAGCCATCCTCTGGCGATGTGGTAGAGCTCCAGTTCAGAGAAACCTTCCAGCGAGTTGCTGGACAGAGCCATGGCCATGCTGCTCTCTGAGAGCTGGAGGTAACGGCCACACTGCACCAACGCTAAGAGGTTCTGACTCACAAACTCACCTGGTTTGATAGAAAAAATGAATAATGATAATCTGTCAGTTTATTCCACCAAAGGTTAAACTGACAATATGACTTTTCAGCCACTAGGGGTCTCTCTATCAAAACAATAACAAAAACAATGAAAATCTACCTGATGCAAAACAAAGACGTGAATCATGTTTACGTTACAAACAACAACGGATAACCATGATTCATCACACGTGACCAACACAAACCGTTAAAGGAAAAGTCTGTCAAACTACCCAACAGTTTTTCCTTCATCATTCGTTGCATTTTATGTAATTAAACGGCAAAAAAATTATACGTTGCCTCGAATAAAATGTTTTTAGACATTTTAATGAAGAATTGTTGTATATTGCATCTTTAACCTCATCATACAGGTATAATACACATTGTACCTTGGTTACCAAGCTTGAAGCTTTATTCCTCTTACCTATGTTAAACTGAACTTCCTCCAGAAGCAGGTCAGTTGCGATGCGTTCGATTTCCACACAGTTATCGATCGTGATCTATCAACAAAAAAACCACAATATAGTTCACGGTCTTTACTTCCTGCATCCCTTTCATATTGGCTGAGTCATGATGACTGTTCAGCTGACACAGGGAAAAGTTGGAGGGGAAGGACAGTTTAATGAGTTCTGACCTTCAGGATCCTGGAATATAATTGATGAGCGCAGAGGCAAAAAAAATGTGACATGTAACTTTTCTAAAAAACTCTCTCACCTCACTGCTCAGAAGCTGATTAGAGAATCTCAGCACGGGCATGACCTGCAAGAAGTTTGCAGCCTCCAGCGTGTCCTGGAGATTACCCATGTCCAGGCTGACTTTGGATGTGTAAATGAAGTCTATAATGTTTTTCAAACCCAACTGAGTCACCCCATGCAGTTTGATCTCTTTCATATCCTGCTCCCTCATGCCTCCTGAGCAAAGACATAAAAAAGTACAAAAGAGACATGGACAAGGTGAAAGAGTTTGTCTGCAGCATTTCTGAAGGTTTGTCCGGTGCAGAAGCGTCACCGTCAGCAAGATACAAAGATGAAGCTGACGATAAAAAGTTTGCAATTGCTCAAACCACAAGAAGTTAATATCAGAAGTCAAGTTTATTTATATTTAACAGCAGAAGTTGATAAGATTCCAACAAAACACTTCCTCTTCTTTTACTACAGTGAGTAAAATATGAATTAAAAGAGTGGAGAAAGATGAAGGCAGAGAAGTATATGGGTCACTGTAATGGATGTTTATATTTCGTTGAGAGACGACCACTCACCTGTGAACATGGCCTTAAAATAGTCACTGGACGAAGCCATGATAACTCTGTGGACCGGGAAGGTTTCGTTGCTGTCCCCTGGAACCAGGACGACATCGCAGAGAGTCTTATCTGCCCGAAAATGGTCAAAGCCCTGTGTGAGAGAGAAAACAAACCTGAACATCACTAAATATCTAGATATCTAAACTATCTAGATATCTGGAGCTGGATGAGCAGAATGTAGGAGGCGTGTGGCGGCCACATGGCTGAAGTGCACCTTGACCTTGGTCAGCCATTAAACTCAACATAGAAGAAGAAGAAGAAGAAGAAGAAGAAGAAGAAGAAGAAGAAGAAGAAGAAAAGCCACCAAGAAAGTGCAGAAAAAGGTGTCACGGTGGCCGTGGATCAAGAAGGGTGATACACGGTGTAGTCTACCTGCAACACAGCTGCTCCGTGGCCAGTGCTGCTGAAAACTTTGGACAGAGGCCGAGGAGGAAGTTTGGGCTTGGTTGCTTTGTCCGTGCGTTTAGGCGGCATATCCACGGGCGGTGAGGGAGGAGCAGGAGCTGGTGCTGGAGCTGGAGGTGGAGGTGGAGCAGCAGCTGGTGGAGCAGGCCTTTCATCTATAGCACCAAAGATATGATTAAAGCCGTGGTACTGCTTGATTTAAATGAATTCATTTGACCAGAGTCGTATAATGAAAACAAAATAAAAACACTGAGAAATGTATGAATGTGAAAATCAATAAACATACAATTAAATAAAATGCTAAAACGTGAATCGAACAGTTAAAAGTCTTAGAAAACGTGGGACTTGACTTTAACCTCAAGTACCTCGATGTTAGGAGAACACTTACAGGAAAAGATATATTGTATAATGGCAAAGTGAAATGGAAGGAACAGGCGAGCCAGTGTCCACACACCTTGGTGCACAGGTCTCTCACCTGGAGCCGGGGGTCTTTCCGGCTGAGCTGGAGGTCTCGGTGGATCCCTGGACTGATGCCTGCTGCCCAGACGAGACAGTCTGCGGCTCAGCCTCCCAGGGACGCTGTCGTCTCCACTTCCCCTGCAGAGGAGGAGCAGAAGGTGTATCACTGTGACATTAAACTTCCCCAAAGCAAATAACATATAGAGATTAAGCTACATTCAAAAGTGCTGCACGTGTTTGACTTTATAAACCTTGTATATAGAGTCAATTTAATGCAAATGAGAACAGAACAAGATCTATTCACAGTTTCATTGACTGAATGTTCAGTTCATTTTGCATCGGAGACTTTCACTCTCTTGTACGATTGTGTACAAATTCAACTTTTTTTCATCAGAACTGACAGATGTTAACACAGCTGACGAAATTCTCTCTTGTGGGTGTGTGTGAGTGTGTGTGAGCGTGTGTGAGTGTGTGTGACCTTAAAAAGAAGGAACTAGGAAATCGGTCTTACATTTAAACCACTTCTTTTGAAACTGGTTCCTGCTAAACATCGACTACGTCGATGAATGAAAAAACATAAAAATATCTGATGTGTTTGTGCTTTTCATGTGTCTTTATACACACAATTTAAATTCCATGCTGTCATTAAATGATTTATTCATCGTACATTATTTAAAATCTAACATGTGGGAGTCAAGAATCGAAATGATTTAATATTTTGTCAAAACTCTTTAAGGTAAGATATCTAAATAAATCTCTGATGAATATAACATTTGTTCCTAGTGAGCATTAATCATATGGTACAATAGTAAAGATCAAAATTAAAACTGTAGACAGAAGCTCGGACATGATTGAAAATATGGAAACTTCACCCGTTACTGTTTTTTTTATCTTGAACGTGTTTCCAACATAAAGACACAGCTCCAGTTAATGATGAATTCAGTCTTTTAATGGTGCTGAATAAAAAAAGAATAATACCCCATCTCATTGGCCTCTTGAGGACTGTTGTTTCGCTGACGAGACTTCCTGAGTGAAGACAATGGACAGAAAAATATATTTATATCATTCGTTTTTTGTCCCCAGAGGAAGAGACACTTTGCAAATGCATTCATAAGTTCATACATGCAAAAAGCAAAACTATGACATCCTGTGTAAGATGATTCTTTTTGATTCTGATTAGTTTCCTGAAGTGAATTTATCTTTTTCACAACATTTCAAACTCTGTGTTAAATATGACCTAATCTCTTTGCAATAGAAACTTCCACTACCTTGACTTTAAACTTTTGGGCACCCTCGTTTCTGTAAGATTTTATTCACTGTGTTTTCTGAGCCCCAAAACATTTATTTACCCGTGTATCTTTTTATCTGAAACTTCAGTCAGAGGTGCTGCAGTTATTCTTTTTTAAATGGCTGCTCATATGTACATGTATGATGTTGAACTAACATAAATTCTCAAAATATTCTCCACATGTAGAAATATAATAAAACCAATATGTAATCTGACACAGGAAATTAACCATATATTTGTCAATTTCCATTGATTTTTGCTTTATATGACTGTATATTCTATTCTATTGTTGATCTCTAACAACAGCACACATCTGTAATTATTTTATTCTATTATAGTTTCTTGTGTGTTTGTAGTTGTAGGGTCTTACTCATTTCAATGTCTAATCTGAAATGTTCAAATACCCGGCAGCACATAACTGTACCTCGCGAGAGTATGTAGACGTCCTCTTTCTAAACTAATATCACTTCTCGTTCTCGTCTTTCTTCTGGTTGTTTTGACGTGTAAATGTTGATTATAGACATTTGTGTTTTTAAAGTCCCACCACAGTGGATGAAGAACTTTCATGATATGTGATTTAAAACTATTTAATGTTGGATATAACGTAGAATGAGTTTCAGGATCGATGGGTAAATCGTCTAAGGTTTAGTACATAGCAGAAGGGCTCGTCTGCAATTTGTCTTTCAGCCTTGAATCAACTCAACTCTTACATAAACCGTGTAAACCGACCACCTCAACTCATCAGTGTCATAATGAAGAGACACAACAGCTCAGCTTCATTAGCATCATACGTTATATTCAACAGAAATAAATAAAGTCATATGCTGCAGTCTTTCAGCTAAATGCAGCTCTGTGTTACTTCACACAGGGCCGTATCCAAACCTACCTGGAAGAAATCCTCTTCAGCAGCCCGGACCCGAGGCCACCCTCCAGCCTGACTGTCGGACCAACCAGAGCTCAGAGAGGAAGAGTCGAGCAGAGAGCGTCTGCTGCACTGCACCCCCTGGTTGGAGATTTGAGGCGTCTGAGCGAGCGTCGTTGTTTCTGTAGCATAACACAGACCTCAGCCACTTCCTGTTCTACTTCTCTGTATCCCCGTCTGCGCCTTTCTGCACCTTGAGGCTCAACACCACAGTGTGTCAGACACTGGGTGAAATGAGCAGAAAGTTTCACATAGTATTTTGAACTATAATCCTTGATTCTTACATATTGATGGTAATTTTATATCTATTACATGAAACATACTCATACTTGAGGTTTTTTTTTAGTACGTGACTGTGTTTTCTAGACGCTGGTGAGAATCTGGTCTGTTGCAGCAACAAGGTTGATCACTAAAGTTTTCCTGGCAAGTCATTCATGTTCTTTCATGATTTTCCACCTGTGACAGACTTTTGATTTATCTTTGTGTTGGACTCGTTGAAATCATAGACTTGGTGAAACTCTGTGATATTCGGTTCGGACTTGTTTTGTATTTATTGACTCTGGCCTGGTTGTTTCCTGAGTGTGTGACATTCTCAGGAGCTACTGTTTTACTTTTTAGCTTCTTTCATACTGCGTCTCGTTTTACTTCCTGTCTTTGTCCTTTGGTTGTCTGCTCCTCCCTGATGTGTTTTACCTGTGATCAATTATCTACCTCCCTCGTGTATTTAGTCTCTGTGCTCCTCACTCATTGGTGAATGAATGAATTCTTCACACCGGTCTACGTCTCAGCTTGTTACTAAATACCCTGTTTGACCTTTCTGTTTTTCCTTCATTTCCTCATTCCTCTATCAGACTTGTACACCCGAATCCTCCCTGCATTCAAACAGAGTTATCATCTATGTAATCCTCCTTTAGTGTAAAAGACTTGTGCTTCATCTACATGTGTTTCCTGCTTTTGACAAAAACAAATGGTCATCATCTCAGCAGGTGTTTATTATGGCACAAAAGCATCTGGCAGCTTTTCAAACCACAGCTTAAATCATTGTAAGTTGTATTTGTTACAATAAAACCAAAACAAAATTGTCGTTTTCATGATCAGCGCCTCAGTCCCCTCCAAACGAAAAACACTTTCACTGGTCACTTGCTAAATCTGCCTCCCCCAGACACTCTCACTTCCCTCTGAACACATGTTGGATGTCCGACTCAAGATTTTTTCAAAATGATGGAAGCTTCCCCAAGTGTATCACTCTTCCTTCAGATGATAAATACACAAGTTTTGAGGTGAACATCTCTCAGTTCATCATTTCATTCAGTCTGTGGCTCCAGGTTCAACTTCTTCTGGTTTGATTCTGTCCTGCAGGCATCGTCCTCACTGCTGCCCTCTGCAGGTCAGTTACAGTTTGGAGAACTGAATGAGGTTCCTGTTGATTTCAGCGACGTTCCTGCAGCCTGAATGAGATGAATATAAAAAACTGACACTGTTGAGATTGAATATTGTTGAATGTGCACAAAATATATTCACATGGTGACACTCTGGGCTTTACGGCCTTTAAAGAAATAAGAGTTCAGTTTCAGAAAATACAATACAATTTCAAATAAAACCAAATGTTATAAAAATAATAATATAATAGTAAAATCAAAAAATAGGCCTTTTACTCTGCTACCCTCAAAATGTCGCTGTGGAAAATGAATTGATTTGATTAGTACATTTGTTTGCCTCACCTGACAAAGCCATGGACAGACGGAATTCATCATTCAGGATTTGCAGTACCTCCCTCACTCCCTCCTCTCCCTGGAAGATCACACAGAAACCATCATTATTATACAATACAAAATATATTATTATCCATAAAATCATTCATATACATCCACTTAAGTTGGAATAGGTTGTGTTGTCACCCTAACATTCATTATTTAATAATCAATCAACAGACACACAGAGTTTCACACACAGTCGTATCAGTGCTGCTCTCCTACCTTGTACGCAAGGCCCCACACCGCTGGACGGCCAATGAAAACACACTTGGCACCCAAGGCCAGCGCTTTCAAAACATCACTTCCTGTCCTGATGCCTCCGTCCACATAGACCTCGATCCTGCCCTGCACCGTGTCCACAATCTCTGACAGGGCATCGATCTGTCGGCAGCAAGAGGTGGAGACATAAGGCCAGCGCACTTTATCAAAGAGATGTCGACTGCACCTCCAGTTAAACTGTCTGAGTCACCACAGACTGAAGAACATCTAACCCGTACTCAAACTAACTATATAGTACTACAGTATTATTACTGCAAGCAACACAGTAACCTTGGAGGAATAGTTTGACATTTTTAAAATGTGTTTTCCTGCATGGGGCTGGGTGAGAGAACTGAAACCTTCTCATGTCTTTGTGCTGAAAATAAGTAGATTTCATCAGAGAGAGACTCCAACTGCAGTAATGTTACTACACTTTGTGTTTTCAATAAGAGAACAGCTAACACCAGTACTTGGCCACATGATACTGCTCCTTTAGCTGCTATAATACTTCTTATTCTACTGTATACGAGCTTCACCGCTACGTCTACATCTATCCTCAGGCTGTGATTTCCGCTCGTTAACTTTAGACAGGATAATTATTCAAATATGAAATAAGATGTGTTCTGTGAGTACCGAGGCCGGGCCTCCGTCCAGCTGTCTCCCTCCGTGGTTTGATACAATGATGCCTTGGACCCCGTGCTCCACGGCCAGCTCCGCGTCCTCCTTGGTCAGGATGCCCTTGATGATAATGGGCAGGCGGGTGATGGACTGCAGCCAGTACACGTCTTTCCAGCTGATAGACGGGTCCAAGGTGTTGGCTGGGATCCCATAGTCCTCTGGGCCCGCAGTCTCCTGCTGGTACACGACGTACAACAACAACTAATTAAAGTATGCGGCTGATATACAAATGGACCACTGCTGTTTCTTGTGATGGGGGAGATCTGATACCACTGGTACATGGAGTTGATCTTGTATGATATTTCATTTAATGATTATTTACAGACACATTATTAAATATGCACAACATGACATCATGAAAATATAAAAATATAAAAATTTTAATTTCAATATGACTTTTTGATTTTACCATGTTCGCTCTGACCTTTGACCTTATCTGTTATGTCTGTACATTAAAGTGCAATAATAATAATAATAATAAAATGAGTAGTAAAAAAACAAATGTACCGTCACCTGGAACATTCCATCAAAGTTCTTGACCTTGAGGTGAGGCGGCAGCTTGAACTGGTTGCGTATGTCGTTGCGGCGCTTTCCGGTGTAGGGCACGTCGACGGTGAGGACCAGGGCCTTGTATCCGAGCGCCTCTACGCGGTGCACTATCTGCTCTGAGAGCTTCCGGTCCCGGTACACGTACAGCTGGAACCAGCGGTAACCGTTCGGTGCTGCCGCCACAATCTCCTCCACCGAGCAGGTGGAGTAGGTGCTGGTGATGTAGCAGGTGTTCAGGGCCTCGGTGGCTGTGTGGAGACAGATTAGAAATTATCACGACTTGATGTGTAGATCTAAAACAACCATTAGAGAAAGGGTTCCGTCCATCTTTTTTAATTAAGGGCTCCTTTATTTAATTTTCCACGGTTCAGTTCAATCAACATGAAGAGACTCTCCTCGCTGACCCACAAACACACAAACACAGTCCTCACCCCGAGCGGTGGCCACCTCTCCCTCATGCCAGGCCAGGCAGTGGAAGGCCGTCGGTGCGATGCCCACTGGAAAGCTGATTTCTGTCCCTTGCACCGTGGTCCGTGTGTCGCTCACCGACACGTCACGCAAGATACGAGGCCTCAGACGGATTCTGGGTGTGGAGAGCGGATGAACTTGTGATATTAACATGGTGAAGGGGGTTCAGGTGGAGTAATTTGCATAAAACTGGTTTATGTGCCAGTATTGATATGTTTTGTAAACATTATCAACTGAGCAGCTGGATAAAGGTAAAATGCTTTTCTGCCGAATCCATCAAATTCAATATGAGTACATGTTTCATATATATCCAAATACAAATTGTATTAAATACCAAAAATGAAACCATGAGACTCATTGATCTGAAAAATCTGTGGCTGATAAATGATATAATACAGATATTTAAGTGATAACGGCCATGGTATGATTTGTATTTCTCTCATATGTGTTATGTTATAAAAAGGCACATATCTATGAAAATCAATGACTTCATAACATGTCAAACAGTTCAAAAACTCAAAATATGCAATTATGTAAAGTTAAAATGTGACTGTCTTGACCTGTCATGACACCAAACCAAAATATTGACAAAGCATCGAAAAATCATGATGCAATATATGATATGATATATGAAGTCAAATTCTTATTGTGATGATAACAGGCTGCTTTTCTGTGACAAATCATATTTCTTGGAATCAAGACAAGCTGTGATTATGTTTTCCCAAACCTTGGACTCAACATCCTTCTAGGACACAACCCAGCCTTTATTCCTACTGGGAGAAAGAAATTCCAACTTCATGCCAAATGCACCGGCAAATAAATCCTTGGTAACAGGTTTGTTGTTGCAAAAACATGTATGTATAGATCATCGCAGAGAGGAAAAGCACAGTCTATAAGTCTTCAGAAAGACATGAGCAAAGCTGGGAGGAATGCACGAGGAGACACGCAGAGGAAAAACATTCTGACAATTTAAAGAAAACAAATGACTTTGTCCCATTGGTTTCAAAACAGATTCTGTCTTTATAAAGGAGCTGGAACAACAAATCTGCACAAACTCTGAGGGGAATATAACTGTCTGTGTGTGATCATCAGGAATCACAACCACACGTACAAAACTGTTTCAACTGAAATGAATTACAGAAGATTAAAGTCCACTAAACTTTGATTTGTGATCTTTTACAAGCTGTGTCCTCGCACGACCAGCAGCTGAAACACAAATCATGTCGGTCTCTAGAGGTGAAGTATTTTATTCAGCATGTCAGAATGTGTAAATGAGTTCAGGTGACGCTGATGACACTAAAAGAGTCAATAAAAACCGTTCACTCTCCGTGCTGTGTGGAGGTGACCCAGTGTTACCATAAATACAAGTACCTTTTATAAGCCAGCAGATTGTCGTCCCTGGTGCAGCATTCGTCTGCTCCCGCTGCGTAATAATCCCAGGTGGCCTTTGAGAGATGCTCCTTGGCATACTCCTCAAAATCTGTCAGGCATACCATCGCCATCTCTGCACAGCGACCTCCCTCTCTGTGGGGGGGGGGGGGCAGAGATCACAACACTTTCAGTCTGAGGTTTATTAACATTGACAAGAACGAAACATCAGCAGAAAAACAACAAGATAATCTTATATTTTCCTTCTTTGTCTCAGTAGAATGACTCAGTGTGGCACAAACCTCTGCCAATGCTGCTTAGATCAATCAAATCACCCACACTCATAGATGTCAGTCTAAATATGTCAGTATGTTTCATCAGTATTTTTCCTAAATAAACCAAAATATTTTCATTAAGATCCACTTTAAATTGTAACGTGATCTTCTCCAGCCTGTGTCACATTCTTTCAAGTTTTTGCCTAATCCTGCTCAAAGTCAGACAAACAATGACAACATAACGTCCTCAGTTAACAACATGTCAAGATGCATTTCACCATATGCACAAGCTGTATAATGATGGTTCACTTTAAATATAGATTTGAACTATATCCAAAATATTTCCTTATATACGTAAACTCCCTCTTGTTACACATAGTTGTTTTTCTTGAACCCAAACTGTCATCTCTCCTCCGGTGTCAAACAGGATGTGAGATAAACAGCTACAGGCACCGACAGAAAAAAACCATGAACAAGCAGTACTTACCCCAAACGACTGAGCCGTCATAAACAAAGTCTGTCACTCTCACATGACACAGCCTCCGTGGTGAACTGGAGCTGCGACATCACCGCTCAAAAACAGCACTCAGCAAATGTGGACCCACAAACTAATCTGTCACACCTCGAGCTGAGCAACTTAAATGATTGCTTTACTTTTCTCAAAGTTGACCTTTAAACAGGTTTAAATCTGTGTGTGTGTGTGTGTGTGTGTGTGAGTCCTTGTGTCGACTGTGGTGCTTTTGTGTGGGACAGAATCAAACTTTCATTGAGCCGCTATAAAAGCCAGTGACAGTGTATGTGACCCGAGGGTGACCCCTGCTCTTATTGTGTTTACACA